GACCAGATATAGTCCAAGCAAAATTCTCTGAACCATATGTAATGCAAATTTAAATAAATCATAATCAATTATTTGTTTCATGATCTGCTCAGTATGATGGATTATTTTTTAATTCAAACAAAGACACAGTATGTGATGAGTGGCCTTTCTCTTAGGAGAAGAGATGAAAGGTATTCCTGATATTATTGCTTGGGAAGTGCAAATGTTGACATTTAATGTACACACTAATCTAAATACCTCTTTTCTTCTGTCCATTTGCCTTTACTGAAAGCTTCTCTAGTATTAGTCATGTATGGGATCTACACTTCCTTATGCCTTATTAATCAAATAAACTTCATCCTTCACTTCTGCATTTTGATTCATAGGGACACTATATAAAGGTGTTCTCCAAATGAACTGAACTAACATCATTTAATCATGTCACAATTAACAACAACATATGAAATCTTACAGACCCTTAAAAATTTAATCATATTTCATTGTTTATCTTTCTTTGAGATTTAATACTTATATGCAGAAGAAAACTATTTTTCTAGAAGTTTCTGGATCTATCCTGTATGAAATAACAGCAATGACTTCTGGTAAATAAGGGAGAGAATATCAACAGATCTGTTTAATTGGGATGTTTAGGATGTTAGGATGTTTCAGGATGCATAATGAATTAATAAAGAAGAAGGAATTAAGAAGAAAGTGTTAGGTGTTGTACAGCTGAGATGAAGAGGATAAAGTCACAAGTTCAAAAAATGAACTCTAGGTGAAAACCTACAGTTCAACAATCAACAAAAAAAGAAAAGTGTGCATAAGATACCTTTCCTCTGAGTTTAAGTATTGGTTGAAAATCTTATTTTTTGCCATCTTTTCATGTAGTTTTCATTGATGAGATGTCTAAACAACTTTCAAAATTACTATCAGTCATGTAACTAGCACAAGTGAGAGAAGCTCTGTTAGATACGTCCTGAAGAGGAGTATGGAACTTTGTACAGGAAGGTCATAGAAAGAAATCAGAATTCTTTGAAATAATCTAAGAAAAGAGCTGTTCTTTTACATATAAAAAGAACTGTATCTAACAGAAAGACAATTTAAAGCATGCTATATTTTTCTTTGTTAGTTTTACTTTGTTAAGTGTTTTTGACTAACTGTTTAAAATGTTAACGAAAATAATATACAAAACATTTTAAAAGGCAAAAAATACCCTCAAGAAATCCTTTAGGGAAAAAAGAAGAAACATTAGTCCTGATCCTGAAATCCTGGTGTGTAAAAGTAATGTTCTGATAGTGCTTCTCCTTTGAACCAATAAAAAAGTTTTAAAATAGCGCTAATGAAAAAAGGTAAAAAAAAAAAAAAATCAGTGTTAGAGAAATCTTAGGAAATATTTTTCACCTTTCATATACTAGTTAATTCTAAAGTTTATCTGAAAGTACTGTGGAGTTATTAAAGTAGATCTGATTTACTTCTACTCTAGGAAATGCCCCGTTTACTAAATATCAGATTTTAGGCATTAAAATGAATACACTAAAAAAATATATAAAAAAAATTAAAGTATGACAATATAAGCTTTTATAATCAGTGTTATTCCTGACATTAAATTAAAGCAAACAAAATTATTGTGATAATTAAAGGACATAATGCAAAATATAAAATTGTAAATATGCAATCTAAAATTAGTATAAATATACAAAGTTTTCATGTAAACAGACAACAGAATAAGCAATTTCTTGTTGACTATTTAAGTATTTTTCCAAGAGGAAAATGTATAACAAAATCAGAGATTTTTAAGTCTCCTTTTTTAAGTAGGATATTTAGTAAAAATCTATTCCATCTTTCTGAATGTTTCTCAGGATTTATTACATAGTATTTCAGTGTTACCAGTACAGAAAAAGATCAAGCATAATAAATTGTGAGAGACAGTTTGTAACCTAGGAGACACAACTGTCATGATTTTAGTCTTTGCTTGTTATTCTATTCTAAAAGACTAAAGTGATTTTTTCACAACAAAATGTCCTGAAACATTTCATTTTTTAAACTTTGACAACAGAATTACTTCAGAAGCTCTATTCTGTTTTGTTTAATTTGTTTTTGCAATTTGAACGTTGTTTCTTCTGATCAGCTATTGAGACTAAGGACCAAGGAGTCAATTTCCTACTATTATAATAATGTAATTACTCATGAAGTACTACATTGTCATTTAGGTATTATTTAAAGAAAAAAAAAAAAGTAAGATTGAGAAAGGAAGGCAGTTAAGTGTTTTATTTTTTTCCACAGGTTCATTATCCATCTTTTAGTAAAAGAGAATGAGAAAAGAAAGACAAAAAAAGAGATATGAAACCTATCATCATATTCTCACATTATTACGACTGTCATCAAAATCATGCACTACTGTTCACAATGTCATGGAATAACATAACTTGGATTTTAGTCAATATTTTTGGTGATTTAAAGCTTACCTCAGTTCTAATTCTCATCTGTATATGATTAGATTCACCACAAACTAGATTAAAGTTCTACTGCAGATACTTAGATTCTTATTTATTCCACATTTCATAAATTTTCAAAATTACACATACCTGGAATTAAAATCAGGCTATCTAACACAACAATTAAATGTAATTATTTCAGTAGCACTTTTGAAAAGAAGTAATTGTATTTTTAAAGAAAATACTTGAAATACTATACTAAGTGTACTCCTATGAGCATCTTCAAAAATTAAAACAGAAATACATTGGTAAACACTTCAGTTCAAAAACAGCTACATTTTTCAGAAAGTAGAAGTGGAAAGGGTCTAAGATAAATGATAAAAAATGTTTACAGCTAAGAGCACAAAAACATCAGAAGCAGATAGTGAAATTTACTGATAAGTTGCACAAAAGTTCATTTCTTGAACAGTTAAAATACCAACTGTATAGGTCTTCCTGCTGTGTTCTTCTCCCAAATTCTAGTACTTTAATATCCTCCTTCCTTCACTTCTGATAACAACCTTCTTAAGAATATTTCTTATTTCTGATTTTCCATTAGCTGAGCTCATCCCTCTATCTTAAGTCTCAAATTACTTATGGAAGAATGAAGAATTGAACTGAGTTATTCTGAGACATCAGGGAGCTCATTCCTGCACAGTGATGTAACACACTATGCAGCCTTGTTGCAAGAGAAATTATGGCAGCCATTACTCTCTCCTTTTTATAAATTTGCTCTGTCATTAGCTTTTCTTTCTTCTTTTTTCAGCAAGGTATACATTTTTTGGTTGCTATATATGATGTATATTCTAATTCTTCTGAGTAATACTTGTTTTCATGCTGTCTTCAACAATTTGCCATAATAAATCTTTAAAGATATGTATTATAAGATTTTCCGTAGTGCTATTAGTCTGATACAAAAGGTGTATTTTAGATTACTGTTTTTCTCCTCTAGTTATATAATTGTTTTCTTAACTGTTTATTATTACTGGACATTATGAACTGAATAATAATGAATCTCTTCTGACAAGTAGGGGTCCTCTTTAAGTTGCAAATAAAGATTATGTAATCTGTTACTATTATTAAATTATATTACAATTTTTTTCTATGGGCAAATGTAGAAGAATTCAATTCATTCTGTGCTGATCTTCACTTGGCATGAAGTTGTTTTGGCAAAATTCTTAAATGCAAGTCTTTTTTCAAGGTGCTATTCACAAATAGTATGCAATTTATCTTATTTATTTTTAGATTAATATTTCTCTGAAGGAAATTTTTACATTTATCCAAACTCCAACAGCTGCAACTTCTGCAGAAAAATCAATAAAAATAAAACCAAACAGACATGCAAACAAAAAAAGAGCAGAACATTTTGATTATGCACACACTATGGTGCTTCAAAAATTTAGATTTAGAACATCTTGTAATTGCTGACAATTTAGAAGATGAAGAATGTCAAACAAGATATTTTTTTTTTCCTCCTCCTCTGTTAAATGGTTTTAATTGTTAAAGTGAAACATAAACAAAGCCTTTATCCTTCTCTGTTGTATGTCAGGGAAATTCCTGCTGCAGACTTGTAGCTTGATAAGAAACACTTTTCTCATTTGTGAGTCATTCACTTAAGTAAACATTAGCAAATAATGCTGTTTTACTGAAGAAAAATTATTTGGTATAAAAAATAGTTTAAAGAGGAGAATGGCAATCTGTACAAAGATATATTGCAACAAACCCCTATATATAATGTATATACTAGTTCAGTTTTCTGAAAGCATGTTTATGGATATTCTGTCATATATTCATGCCTCTACAAACAACAAGATAAATATGACATATATTTAATTCTAAATTAGAATACTAACATACTTCTGATTTCAACTGAAATTAAAATTTTGGTTAAATTTAGAGTTAAAACCCATGTCTCTACAGTAAATACAATAACCCAGCTCAAGGTACACATGATAATGAATCAGAAAGAAGCCCTGAAATTGTTTCATGTGTTCATTTTATTCATCAATAATTCAGGCAGTGATGTTTGAGTATATTAAATAAGAGAAGATGCCTAACATTGTACAAGCAAAAGGTATCAAATTCTGTAAAAAGTGTCTGGATAGTGGCTTTCTCTTATAAAAAAGGCTGCAGTGGTCCTGTTAAAGTTTCTGCAGATTTTTTTTTTTTTTTCTCCTTCTGTATCTTTTCGAGAATACAGCTTAATTCTATGAGCCAGCCACTTCAGATCCACTATGCAGACATTTTACTGAGGATATATACTAGAGATGATACATATGGAATCAATCTATCTTGCTGTTTATGTATAGTTCTACTTTAAAGAAATATACAAAGATACAGTAACACAGATTTTGCAAGTTAAGATATTAAAGTTTTTGAAAATAAAAACAGTTCTAATTTGATGAGGAAAACAATGCAGCCCATTCACACACATGCAGAGCTCCCTTCAAGATATCAGCTACTAGGAAAAGACAAGCAGATTATTTAGCTTACTTTTGTCTCTTAGAGAGAACAAAAATGGACAAGTCATGACAGTAGTATCCATACCTAAACATCTGGTCTCAATTCCTCTCCAGAGTCCAGATGACAGACATTCCCTCACTGCAGAGCCAACTAGCATGTATCCTGAGTCACAAGTAAATATAGCTGTAGATCCATATGTGATTTGAGTTCCAATTTTATTCCCATTTGGAGGTGTAGGAAGTTCTCCACAGGAAATAACTTGGTTAAACAAAAACAAAACATAAGTGCATAGCTGAGAATCACAAAAACACATACAATAATGCCTATCAAACAACAACACTCATCAACCTGTCAATCAGATAAATAAATATCACACCTTAAAGTATTTTTGAGAAATCTGTAGAAATCATAGATTAAACACCTGCAAACAAAAACTATTTCTTCCCCAGAAATTATACTTAAGAGAGGGGGAAAGACAATTAAAATAATTTCTGTAAAGTTAAAAAAGACACTCAGAACATTATTAAATGCTGTTTAATTACCTTGGTTTTATCAAATACTTTCTGCGTATTGAAACATCACAATTGCTATTAGATTTAGTTATGCTTCTTTGGGAAGAGGCCATTTTGATCTTCAAATTCTTTTGATTTTTGACCTATGATTCTATGACCAGCAGGTCATAACGAAATGCTTACACTAGCATTCACACATTACATTTTTATAAAGAGTTAATGATATTGATGGAAGTTCTTGCTATTTATTTACAATTGAAAGCATCTTTTCAATCACAATAATATTTTTCTTTGTCAATTTTCTTTTAATAATTAACAAAAACAATTCATTAGTAGTAAGTAAGAGGCTGAAATTAGGTAGCACACTTTATGCCTAGAAGAAAATTAGTCATAATATTTCAAACGAAGCTTCTCAAAACATAGCTAAAAGTAGTTTGTCTTTTAAAGCAAAAAGAGATACAGAAACGAATTTAGTATGTAGAATATATATACACAGAGATATAGATGCAGATATATACACAGTATTTTGAACACTAGCAAAGATGAAATATTGCAATTAACTTTTAAAAATTCTCTGAATTATATATTAGATTTCCAGTTATAAAGAACTAAAAATTAAGGTTACTTTCCAGTATAATTAATCTGTCTTTGAAGTTGCATTTTTAAAACCTCTTTTCTTTTTATATATTTTCAATAAATTATAAATTTATTTTTAGCCACAGTTATTTGGCTTATCTACAGAATTTTTGGATATTTTTTGTATATATACATAAACATGCAGATACACACATTTTTGATAGAGGAACCAAAAGTACAGTTGTATCTCACTCTGTCAGAGGGTACATCTGACACCATGTTCCATGACGAGAAAGACTTTTGCAGCTTCAAAGTGTAACCAGAACCCCACAGTTTTGAAAAAGAGATTCTCAATGTAAATTTATAAAAAAATGTGCTTTTCACAGCAGTAGGGGAGGGAAACACAATTATAGCTACATCTTTATTTGGTTTAAATATCTGATTGTTTATTTATTTATTTTTTTTAAATTAACTTTTGCAGGTTATCAGCATACCAGCTAACAGGATATGTGCAAATGCACACTACATGGTAATTAACTGAGAGATTATTTTATTTATTGTGTGCAGACAGGATATAAAGGTTTTTCATTTTTCAAGAATTTACAGTAATCCTGACCTAAAATAAACATAGAGGAAAATATTCTCTTTGTACCTTTATAAATTTGGGGACCTTTGAACTCCAGAGTTGCGCCTGCAGATATGTCATTGTCACCAAATCTAATGTATTATATTTATAAATAACAACCTTTAGGATACGCAGGAATTCAAGCTAAGAAACACTTTTTCTAATTTACTGTTTTGAATACAAAATTAGTTCATTTCTAATTCACCCAATAAAATATTTTTCCTGAAATCTGTCCAACAACAGACACAGGTACAACATGTACTCACTTTGGCAGTAAGGCCGCTCATTTCTCCAACTCCAGGTGCCATTAGCAAGACACTCGATAGATGCTGGTCCCAAACCATAATACCCAGGATCACAGCTGAAAACTACTTTTGTTTTATATTCATAGTGTGAACCATTCACTATCCTCCATCTTCCATGTTCCAGGGTAAAAGAATTGATGCTCGGACATGTAACAACTTCCAAAATAACAAAAAGACAGTTGGTGGCTAATTACAGGCAAATTGGGAAATCTGTACCATTATTAATCAAAAAATGTATTTTAAACACAGTGACATACTCTTTGAAAACTAAGGTTCTATTTGAAATTGCCTGTGGTTAGCTGGTATGAGTTGTCTAATTTAATTGATAATCATACAGAAAGGGAAGGGATTGTGCATGCAGAGTGATGCTCCTATAGATAGGAGCTATACCATGGTTGGATTCACTAAAGGTGGACCATCTGTGACATTTTACATCAGGCACCAGAATCTTTACTAAAATTTTAAGTACATTCAAATGGAGAAATTATTTTTTTACCCAAGTAAACTCTATGAGATATGAAAGACTTCTTTGTGAGGCTGCATATTGGTGACAGAAAAAATAACATCAATATCCAAGTTGTTTTTTCAACAGTTATGTATTTTTGTCCCATTTCTTAATTCTAAGTGTTCTTCCTCCAGAAACAGAACAAAAACATTCTACAACACTAATAGAATACAAAATAGTATCAGAAGCATAACGATTTTTCCTCCTGTTTTTCTTTATTTTCATTTGTTCTTTAGAAAGAGGAAAATTCATGACAGAATGAAATTTTCAAGAACAAGAAGAAAAAAAAGGAAAAAGGGGAAATCCTTGAAAAATACTCCAGTCTTAATTTGCTCTCATTTCCAAAATTCCTTGGGTGAGACAATCCAAATCCTAATGTGCATGAGACAGTGACATCCCTGTACCACTCTTACAATCACCTGGGTTTTCATATCCCATTTATAACTGCTGATATCCACTTCATTTTGGGAATTCAATGCATTTTCTTTGCAGTGATGTTCCCCCAACTTTAGATGGTGTTGGACTATAGTGATGGGATGAATATAAATAACAAGATGCAGTTTCAAGCAATTATCACAGGTTAGCAATTTTGGATAGTAAAAAGGGTTTGTTAACAGTATATGAGTTGTGCAGCTCTCATTGAAGAGACGACTTTTGCGGAAAACCTCCACAACCATTAACTTTGATTTAATGGTAAATTAATTATTAGTTTGATTGTATTCTATAAGCTCTAGCATGTTTATTCTGTTTATGCTGTTAAGTTTCAGCATGTCTTAGTTACATATACTTCATATATGTATTTCATAATAATTTAATACCAGCAATAATTCATGGATTAAAGCAACCTGAAGATGAAAGTTTAAGTCATGTGAAGATTTGTGCCCTGGATAAATAAACAAAATGTACAGACATGTTTTTACTCACTAGAGACTTTTTACATGTTACTCACCTACACAGCGAGGTGTTTTATTGTGATTGCTCCAGGTACCATCCGGCTGGCAGACTGCAGTAGTAAGCTCTTTGGCTGATAGCCTATATCCATCATTGCAAAAATAAGTAACACGGGTGCCAACTAAGTAATCTGTGGTTAATATCCCACCATTTACAGGAGCTTTAGGAATTCCACAAGATATTGCTGAGTAGAGAGAAAGACAAAGTTTTTTATACCTTCAATATAAGTTTCCGCTGACCTCAGAGAACCTATGCATTGCAAAATCACTAGTCTTAAATTCATAAAAAATAATTTTTAACTCATTAATGTGTGTTTTAAGCATACAAATAAATTCTCTTAAAATTTTAGGGAATTGAATTCAATGAAGCTTTTGCATTTTGATGGAGGAAGTAAAAAACAAGAACAATGGTTCATAACTCTGCAGCTAACAATTCAAAGTGCAGATGAAAATAAAGAAAAGGGAATAGAAAATATCTGAAAAAAAATATGACCAGTATGGTTGAATTAGTAAGGCACCAGTCTGAGAAACATGAATATGGTTTATATTCATATTTCTTTCATCAGTTGTACTTTGTGACCTCTGGCAAATCTTTGAAATTACTTTTCAACATTTTATATTTTCCACCTGGAAAGCAGAAAGAACATACCCTTCTGAAAATATTGAATCATAGAATCATAAAATGACCTGGGGTGAAAGGGGCCTTAAAGACCAAGTTCCAATCCCTCTGCAATGGGAAGGAACATAGTTTACTAGACCAGGTTGCTTAAAGCCTCGACTTGAACATTTCCAGGGATGGGGCATTTACAGCTCCTCTGGGTAACCTGTGCCTCACCACCTTCACAGTAAGGAATTCCCTCCTGATGTGTAATTTGAACTGAACCTCTTTAATTTTAAAGCTATTCCCATCTATCCTATTGCTGCAAACCCTTGGGAAAAGTCCCTCTCCAGGTTTCCTGTCAGCTTCTTTAAGCCCTTGTCTTTGTCATCCATGACTTGTGAAGTGAGACTGAAGCACTTGTCAGCAAAGACTGAGTCAAAACCACTGCTGAGTACCTCAGCTGTCCCATGTCCCAGGTAACCAGGTCTCCCATATCCTTCTGGAGAGGGCCCACAATTTACCTAGTCTTCATTTTATCACCAATATATCTTTAGAAGTTGTTTTTGTTGCCTTTGACAACCATGGACAGATTTATTTTATCAGGGCTCTAGCTTTCCTAACCTGATCTGTAGTTGCTTGGACAATTTGTTTGTATTCTCCCAGGATGTCTGTTCTCACTTCCACTCTCTCTAGGCTTCGTTTTTGTATTTTGTTTTGTCCAGTAGCTCCTTGCTTATCCAGGCAGGTATCCTGAAGTTTCTACCTGATTTTCTGCTTGACAACATTTCTGAGGATGCAACATTTCTGAGCTTGGAAGAAGTGATCCTTTGACTATGAACCAGTTATACTGGTCTGCTCTTAAATCTAAGGCTTTATTCCATGGTACTGTACCAAGCAAACCCCTGAAGTGGCCAAATCCTGCTCTGAAGTCAAGGCTAACTAGAATCCACCCTTCTCACTGCTCTAAGGATTTTGTACTCCATAATTTCACAGTCACTGCATTCTTCAGCTTTACATTCGTCATCAGCCCCTGCTTGTTGCTGAGAAAAGATCCAGCATAGCACCTCTCTTTGCTGGCTCCTCTATTTCTTGGAAAAGAAAGTTGAAAACTGCAAGTAAAACTGTAAGCTACTGTTTTATTTCTTTTCTTTAACAAAAATAATGTACCAAGAGAAGATCTGGTTCTGAATAATGTTCTGTTTTGGGAATAAAAATAAAAACTAACCCTTTTCCACATTCTAAAACCATATATCTAATGTAGGTCAGAAAAAAAAAAAAAAAAGTGAAAAAAAGGGCTCAGACATTTAAGTCTGAAGTACCTTGCTTTGAAGTCAAATCTTGAGCCCTAAGAAAGTAACTATCATGCCCACACAGGAAGGTTAATCCTCTCAGACTATATATAAATACTTGGAAAAAAAAAGAGTGCAATCTATTTTTGCTCGTACTGGGAGCTGATCTGACATAAAACTGATTTGCTTCATAAGCAATATAACAACTGTGTGGCACAGTACTGAAGCTAATAATCACAGCTAAGACACAGGTAAAGCACAGATCCCATAACAACTTACAGAGCAGAGGTATAAGAATCAATCTTAAAATATTCTTGCATTGCCATAAAAATAACCCTTGCATATGACATGGAAATTTAAGACAAAGAAAAACCAAAAAACCACATTACAGACACACTCTGCTGAAAAGATCACAGAAAACTATTTCTAATTTGCTATCCCTTTGTCTTGGCAACCATAAGAACATATACCTAATGACTTTCACAGTGTCTATTGGCAACTAGAAACAGACCCACTTTTAGAAGAGAATAAGAAAACTGTGATTAAGAAATTTAAGACCCCCCAGAAACTATAATTGAATTCAAAGCTCTAGAGGGCATGAGGACATGACCCCAGCAAGGTAAAAAGTTAATTAAAAAATTAAATAAAATAGAAAGCTAATTAAACGAGAATGTCCATCTTCCACCTTTTACTGAACATCTGATAAAACTACTATTTCACTTGCCATCACCAAAGAAACAACTTCTGTGACACTAAAATGAAAACATGTGACCATATTTATTACTTCTTAAATTCCTCAACAGTTTGGACTGCAGATTAGGTAAATCTATCCATTCCAGGATGACAGCTATATGCTTGTATAACCACGGTATAACCAAATAACACTCTACTAATAACTCTCCCTTCAAAAGCATGTTAATGATAGTAAGAACTTTGAGACAATTACAAGAGTTGCCCAAACAATGTCCACTCTGTTACATCAGGGCCAGCATTCAGCAGTGCATAAAATTAATATTCACTTGCAAAATACTTGTATATTGTATACAAATATTTGTAAAATTTGTAACATGTAAACAGCATTGATTACAATCCTAATGACCAACAAATTCTACAGTGTTGCTTCACATAATGCAGATAATTCACATTCTGTCTCTTTTACCTATCAGTAAAATATATCAGATACATTTTAGCCACAACCTCAGATGTTCAATATCTACCATTGAGATTAATTACTCCTTCAGTATTTAAAAATCTCCATTAGTGACTTGATAAATTTTGAGTCATATTATCCATATTAAGTCAATCTCATGTCACAAGAAAATATATCCCTCCCTTAACCTTAAATTTTTGAGAAACAAGATGCAAACCAACAATGCTTGGTAACTGACTTTTATATAAACAACGGATCTCCTTAGGGTCACCCAATAACATTTTAGTTTACAGAAGTTTTGAGCTAAATTTCACATTTGTGGAAACTTGCACAGAAAAGTTGCCCAGAGAAGCAACTTGTGGATGTCCCATCCCTGGAAGCATTCAAGGCCAGGTTGGACTGGCCTTTAAGCAGCCTGGTTGAGTGAACAGTGTTCCTGCCCATCCCAGAAAGATTGGAACTACATCTTTAAGGTCCCTTCCAAGTAAACCCTCATATGATTCTATGAAAATCACATTTTAGTTAGTGGAAAAGACGTGAAAATATCAGGAAAAGTTATTGCCACATCAGATACTTTGACAGGAAAAAAGACAAATAGGACATATCTAAAATTCCCTAAAAATAGATCTGTCACAGAAATGTTTGGTCATTATATGTCAGCTTGGGCAATATAGTTCAATCAAACTGAAACATTAAAATCTATTCCTTTTTCACAAACTTCAAAACATAGATCCTGTTCCAAAGATATATATATATAAAATATACACAGTTCTTGGAAAACCTTAGTTATATTATTTCTCAAAGAACACCAGCATTTCAGAAATTATCATTAGACCAAAATGAAGTTCTTAAATATTTTTTAGTAAATGCTAAATCCCTGTTTTTTGTATGTCACTCTTATTAGCTCCTCTTGAAATACTGTTTCTTAAAACTAAATTTGTTTTTATGAGGTTGAAAAATTTTGTCACAGAAGTATTACCACGAAATATTTCCCTGCTATTCATTTTAAGTCAGAAATCTGATGGCTTACACTAGAAAAAGAAAGTTTCTTAGAGTATATTTTTTTTTAACAAAAGAATTTACCTTGACAAGCTGGGACTGGAACATCCCACGAGTAATAGCCATATGGAGACTTCCTGCACACAGCAGTGCTTTTCCCAATGAGCCGAAAGCCTCGATCGCAAGCCCAGCGAACCATGCTGTTGAGCTGTCCGCCTGTCTGACTGACAATGAAACCGTGCGGGGGCGACTCTGGGGTGCTACAGTAGAGAGCTTGAAACAGAAATACTGAATGAGTAAAATATGTCTGTAGAATTCAGGCAACAATTCTTGAGAAATCCTTCTTTAACTCAGTGGACATCTGATTGGACACTGAGAAACTGTTACTAAGAGTTGTATTTTATGTACTGATAATACATGCATTGACCAATTTCACTAAGCATAAAGGTGATAAAAATAGACCTTTATAAGCTCTATACACAACTCAGGTTTCAGTAGCCTCCAAAAAAATACTGATAGCTCACTTTTGTGATTGGCTATTGCTTTGGGATTTGAGTTTATTTTTTTTACCACCATCTTTTTAAATCAAATAAGCTACTGAACTTTATTTTATGATTAAATTTATTGCAACAGTATACATTTCAGTAGTATACAAATTTTTGAAAGAAGGAAACAGCTAGTACATCCTGAACATAGCTCTTTTTAAATAGTCTTTTCTTTCTGGTCCTAAATAAGTTCTTTCATTTAAGTTCTGTGATACACTGAACTGAAATAAAACATTTAAAATAGATTTTAATGATAAACTACCACCATAAATCCGTGGCAAATATACTGAAACTACTTTTAGTTGTTGATTTATTTAGAACACATTAAGTCTTACAGGAGTCTTATCTAGAGACTAAGGAAAAAAATCATAACTCATTATGAGAGCGAAAAATATCTCTAAGAGTTACACTTTTTATCATTTGAAATTATGAATGTACTTAATGACTCTGGCATTAAAGACTGGTTACTTACTATGTTTCCTTTATCACCCTTGTTCATTGAGTACCACATAATTTAGGTTTGGCTATCTTGTCATAGGAGTGGACAGAAGGCTCTTATAACCTGGTAACCACATTAAGATGAATTTTGTTTGTGTGAAAGTTCAATTTGGTCTTTGGTTGATTTGATTAATGGCTGCTGGCCATAAAGATTGTTTTCTATTTTTGTAGGAAAGAAAACTGTACTGGAACTTTGTTTCCAAGTGCTTCCTTTATGCTTTGAAGAAATGTTGATAACTTGGTATTTATTTTCTCAGGAAATAGAGAACTGCTGCTTCACTTGCTCTTTAAAATTTCCATGACTTACTTCAGGTCAATGTTTTTCTCACGTGAAAACTTTCTCTGACCAGAATGGAGTCATATGGCTGCTGATTTACAACAAATATTTATTAAATATATTAAAGCAAAGAGCAGAATCAGAACTACTGCTATATCTTTCAGACCACATAAAATGAAAGTATTTTCTTCCTTACACTGAATGTCTCCTGACTTATGCTTTCTTAAAATAACCAAAGATACAGAGATCTCTACTTTAGTGTATAAGAAAACATACCAGTGTTTTCTGTGTGAAACAGATCACTTGAAAATATTTCCTGTCTGTCTCTCAACAGTCCTCTCACTGCCTGTAAGGAAAGACTTTGAAGAATTTTCTCTTCTTTCTCTTTTAACAGACCCGAAAGGGACTACAGAAAATGAAAACTAGTACCATATATAATTTTATCTCTAGTAAACAGTGAATTTTACCTAATGAACAACAAACATTTTGAGTCTGAGGAAACTGTCCTCTCCTAAAAAGAAAGATGATAGTGATATAACCATATCATGGTATATGTGATCCGAATTATTTTTCTTCAGTTGTGAAGTAGCCAAAAATTTAGTGAGGAAAACCAAAAAAATGTAGCAGAAAAAAATTTATGCTTATTACTTATATCTTTATCCACCTTGTGAAATGAAACAACTTTATGTCCATAACTTCTCTAATATCTACAGATACTATCCCCACTACTCTTCCTTGAATGTATATTTTTGATCATCATAAAAAAATTCAAATATAGATTTTGTGCAATAGCTGTAAACTGCTACAAATCTAATTTGTCTTGACTAATTAAAATAATTTTATTGTAAAATAAATATGATGATGCTGTAAAAGCAATTTTACTAAAATCTAACTTTGTCACTATTGTTTCCACACACTATTCATAAATACATCAATTTGAATTAATAACACATAAAATACTGGCTTTTTTACCTGCTGATTTATCTCTTTTATTGTTGGTTGCTGCTTCTGTTGAACTTTAAATTAAATTCAGGGTCTCATATTTTTCCACTATATAGCTGTTCTATATTGCCTTGTTGCAATGCTTTCCCTTGTCCCACCAAAATTCTTAATGGTGAATTGCATAAAGATCTAGTTAGAATAACACCCCAGTATGAAGAGGCACACAAGTGCAAATAAATGGGAGAGAGAAGGAGGGACATGCTTCCTCTATATTTAGTAGTGGTTTATGTCATTTTAAAGCCCTGTCTTTTATTAATTCTCTACAGAGCACATGTGTGGGGCTTTTTTTTCCTCACAATATGAGGGTCATTATGTTCTATATATATGAACAGATTGGATTTCCTTTCAGTTTGGTTAATTAAAGATACCAAACATAGCTTATATTACCCTTTTCACATAAACAAATGTTCCACACTGAAATTTCAGGCACTTTATAGAAAGTCACATCTGCATACCTATATATCTTATCCTGAAACCCTTTTTATTGGTGCCATGATCTGCTGACCACCGGAGAAATACTTCATGGCCATTGCTGGTTATATTTAGAGAAGATGAGTAGTCCCCACTGAGAGATATGAGCAATGGGCTATGACTATTTGGTCCTTGGTACAAAGGAAGGAAAAAAAGAAGGGAAAAAGGAATTAAAAAGTTTAACATAGAATAAACCACACGCTCAAAATTAATACACATGCAAAACATCCTTCAAGCAAATGGCAAATTAATTTGAATTTAAAAATGAAATATAACTGGAAGCTATATATTTGCTCAAAACAAAAATTATTGCTAAGTATGACATGCAGTACAATTTTAAAATTAAGTAATCCAGCAGTTCTTTTTATTATAACAAATGAAAATAATTGCTTAAGATTTCTTAGACTAAGAAATTATAATAAGCATAAACAATAGTAATTAGACAGAAGCAATATAGAAAAAACAATGATATAGACAAGGTATCATCCAAAGTTATTCATCCTATAGTTACCATCAAAAACCTCAAGTATATCAAATTCCTTTTCTGTCTGGAAGAATTCAAAGAACATGCTGATATTATAACCCTTTTCCACAGTAATGGTCCACGCACACATCTGGAGATTTGGGTAGCTGTCAGGATATCCAGGGCTCAGGATTACGCCTGTTGAATCCAGACGCATTTCATTGGCTGGACAGAGCACTGTGAAACAGAAAAATTGGCAAAAAAATCTAAAGCTCATTATTTCTAGTTCATCTGATTGACAAGATTTTCCCGAGTTTAAAAGAACTGCATTACTCATTCTATTTCCTTAAACTGAACAACATGGTGATTTAAAATATGGTGAAGAGATTTAATTTTGAATTTATCTGGATTCACTATGTCTACAAGAATAATAATCTCATTAAATAGAAATAGTTGACATTACCAGTATTTCCATGTTATTGGAAATATTTTCAAAAAATGTGTTTGCTTCATGATACCTGAAGAAATGCCTGCAGTATATGCAGAACCTAACACTGCTAAACAGGAGCTTTGAAATACTTTTATATTGACAACTAACTCCTACATGAAAATGAGTTAGTCCTGAATTACACAAGAAAAATAATAGGATCTTTGTTTTCTCAAGAACACTGGAAATAATACTCTCATAAATTACAAAAATCAAGTTTTATGTTGAAAAAGTTATTGGACTATGAAGAGAGATAAAGAACATAGAAAAGCAGAGAAAGGTAGAGAAAAATAGTATTTATCTTCATCTAAAAACTTTGTAAGAATCATAGAATACTTGGGTTGGAAGTAAGCTTTGAAGATCATCTAGTCTAAACCTCTGCAAATGCATCCAAACTGAACTTGAAAAACTGTATCTGCCCATAGATTTTAAAAAAATATTTGTATCTCAGTTGCAAATTAGCATCTAGTTGCTAAATTTTAAAAGTTGTTTCTCGTGTCCTGTGTTTGTTTTAATTACTCAAGCAGAGATTGAATAGCACCTCCACACCACTTAAAACCCATATGGCAGGAATCTGGCTGTAAAATTACAGTGCTGTACAATTTGTGACACATATCTCATGAAAATGAACAAAGTAATCCTCTCAGCTTTATATGTACATACAGACATATTTTTATATAAAAATGTGTGGCAGGAGGAGTATAACAGTAATCTGGCTGCGCTCATTTATTTGCAGTTGTTTGGCCTTGCAAATGGTCCTTAATTTCAGGATTTTCAGCTAAACATCCCTCAGGAATTTTATTTAGAATTGAAAGACTTGTTTCTGTTAAACAGATTCCCTTGGGAATTGAGCAAATCAATTTTATGTGAATCAGAGTATATGTATCTGAGATATAGTTAAAAGTCACCATTACAGAATTTTTCCAGGGTCCCGTTATTATGATTCAAAATATAGTTAAAATCTTATTACTTTGAAATTTTCATTTTATCCTGAAAGTAGAAGCTAATTTAAAGGAAAATTAAGGGCAAAGCTACATGCTTTGTTCAGACAATACTCTTCTAACTAAATAAGATGACAGAAATTGGCTAAACTTGTGGAATTTAGTGATTATTTTCACACTTAAAGGAAATCTACAAGAATTTTAAGAAATGCTTATCCAGCTGACACACACACCAGAGAAAACCAGAGGAAAAAAGTGACATAGTTTTAAATACTACTAAATGTGATGTAAACTAACCTGTAATAATTAAAACTACCAAATAAATATTAAACATAGTTTTTTTTTCAATTTTTATTTTTTTTAGTAATTCCTCATTTGTCTAATATATCTTTACCACAATAGATTAAAGACTAATATATTGTTACTTAAATTCTGCTCAGTAACATGCTTCAGATTTATTTATGAATTAATTTTGAATGTAGGTATCAAATTATTTCAAGTCAAAAATTAAAGAAAAATTCATTGAAATGTCACTTTACACTGGCTGAAGCATATAACATGCATAAAGTTAAAGCATCAGGAATAAAAGTGTTAAATTCAAAAACAAACATATGTTCTACCCAGTGAAAAGAATTAATAAACTAATATTAATATGAAATGACAGAAGAACTTAGACTTTTCTGTGAAAGTGTCTCTTAGGTAGTGTGTTATTCCATAGGTTAGGTATGGTAGTTTATCCATAGACCAGGGCAATAGAGTAAAATCATGAAAGACAGAAATTTCTGGCATGTATTTTTGCTGCCTTTAGATTCCACAAATATCTTTATTCATCTTTCATTATTTAAATTTAACTTATATACTGTTATCTTCAAACTTATACATCATATAAATAAATATAAAAGAAAATATGTGGTTCTTTATTCTAGGTTGCCACTTGGACTGGCCATTTTTGACAGAATTTGACAAATTTCTTTGCAATTTTCTTTTTATTTTCTGAATCTAACTCTGAAGTCCATGTTAATTTCCTTCTGCTTTAAACAGAAATTATAAGAGCATTGATCTAATATTTAGCATTGGAACTAATGTTTAGCATTCATATCTGACAGATAAAAGATTAACTATGGCAACTGAATTCATCATTCCTGAGTTTTTGTCTTGTGTCTTGCATTGAATACAAATATGCCTTCAGCAACACACAAAGGGGGGATGCCACAGGATCAGCACATATGTCTCTATTTGCCCTATCTAATATTGCATCATTTTAACTTTTAAAGCAATGCCTGCAGGTTACTATGGTTTTCCACCTATTAAATGCTAAATCTCTGTCAAGTAAGGATTTAAATTTAAATTGGGGTGTTGGAAGTTATTTCTAGACACATTTGTATCTAATAAATGTCTGGATATTCAGAAATTACCAGTGTAAAAGTTCTTAAAAAGCTCACATTTCAATTTGACTTTGCATTTTTAAGAAATAGACTCACTGCTGTGAATTTTGACTTCTGCATAGTTTTGTCCATAAAATCAGGGGAAAATAGCTTATTCAGTTGTAAGTGTAGACTCTTCTAGCTTTCCAGAAGGAAAAGATTATATTTAAGCAAGATTTTTTTTTTAACTCTCAGCTGAAATTTTAGGTGAATATAACAGTAATAATAAAGTCCTAAAAATTAATATACTGATGTTTAATTTCTTACATCTATATTATGCACAATTTTATAACTTTAAAAATTGATAAGAAACAGTAAAATATTAAAGATTTACTTGTAAATGTAGTAGATTTACTCACAATTAATTTACTCTTGCCAAATAAATCTTTCATCATGAGTGTTTTACGGGTATGTTAATGAATTAAAATTTCTGGAGAAGGACACACCAAAACATCAGAATGGTAGGAAAACCAGATGGCAGTATTTTTCATATAATACAAATGTAGATCAAACATACTTATTATGACTGATTTGGTACAGGAAGTATTTTAATCCTGCTGTAGATGTTAGAATATTAAACTCTGGAACAGATGGATCACAAAGGAGTATCACAGAAACTATTAGAATTCAAAATGGCATATTTTAACATAATTATTATGAGGCTGTGGTGTTTTGGTTTGGTCTTTTTTTCTTGAAAAGGCTTTATCATACACGTTTATAACTGAAGGTCCTTATTTATCCTTCCAGATATAAACAGAAGAATTAGTAGAAAAACATAAACTCATGCCCATTACTGGAAATTCAAAGAGCTTCCATTTTTTTAATGAACCATGTGCTAAGCCTTCTTCATTTGCTCTCTAATCAGTTTGGTATGAAAGAAAAATCTCACTTTTTACTTTTTTTTAAATTATGGAAAAATTATATTGTAGCATAATAGATCTAATTTCAGGTTAATAAAGACTGGTTTAAAATGTGATGTCAGGACTCATTTTGACCTTAACAATGAGGTGGCATTGTCTCTCTATTCACAATAAGAGGAAAAGTGAACAACCAAATGCATGTGTGCACACACACACACACACATGCAGAAAACCTGTTTTTTTAGAACACATTGAATAAAAAATGCAAGTACTTAAAACTGCACTGAAAAATTATTTTGTGAGCTTATTCACCCAAATCCATGCTATGTTAATTTAGCATTTCTGAAAATTCCCATATAAATTTTCATACTATTATGTTGTAGAAAAAATGAAAGTCTCATTATTTACCAGACTCCCTGAAAAAAAAAAGGAAAAAAAAATAAATTGTGAAATTATTTTCATAAAGTAGAATAGCAGATCTTTCAGCTTGTGAGGTTCATTAGAATATTACTAATCACTTTGCATTAATATCTGACATACATGACACAAAACAAAGAGTGATATATAGGGATAAATCAAGTCTGAAATAGTTTCAATATGCTGTCTTATGTAAAGAGACGTAGAAGTTATTTAAGGAATCACCACTGAACTGGTCTGGCAGCAGGAAAATAGGAAGGGAAAAAAAAAACCTTGACAAGTAGGTGGTGCTCCATCCATCTGAAGTCTTTCCCCTAGTCGGCATGTCAGGATCTCATTGCCAACCAGGGTAAAGCCAGGTTGACACTGGTACCTTATTATGTCTCCTGTTCAGAAAAAACAACACAGGGAAAAACACAAACAAACAAAAGAAGCATTAAACAGCAATTAACTGTGGCTTTTAGCTTTGAAAACATTATTGATTAATGAAGTTTCTTAACACCATATTATACAATGGGCTAAATGACCTCTGGCATAAACAACTTTGATTAGTCTTAGAAATGTGGTAAATGATCTTTGTGTTGCAAACTGTGCTGCATCTATCACTTCTTTTCACGACATTATTTGTTAGTTAGTTTGCTAAGTTGTCTGGGTTTGACTGATGCTATGTGAAGTAAATGCCCACAAAGCTTTAAGCAATATAATTTATATGATAACCATTATGAAACTAAATAAAGGTCTAAGATCAAGTCAGCAATTCATCCAATCCTGAGGGGAAAAAAAATTAAATAGCAAATGGATTTGTTGATGCTATCTAGATTTGGCATCTGAGAATACAAAATTGTCATATTTTAATTAAGAAACCAAAAATTCATATAGTTTTATGCACCAGTAAAAGTATAAACTTGCATATCCCAGCAGCTCTGTTTTTATGTTTGTATTACATAGTAAAGGAAAAAAATGTAATTTCTCTTTTTGACCTACATAACTAATCATCTATTGGTGCATACACTAAAAAAAATATTTTCTTTGCCATCATGCGAGCAAAACTAGCTGACCAGACATCTGAAATCAGATCATATAAATCATATTTCTTTGAAATATAGGTGGCTAAGTAATATTATTGACATGTCTCAGAAAGTAAGAATGTCATCCTCTTCCTCTTAAATTTACAAATTTGATTTTACGTTTTAGGTCACAGAAGCTTAATTCTGCCATAGAATATACCATTGTCTACATGTTTTCTTATGGGTTTTGTTTGTTTGTTTCAGTGTGATACAATATTTTATATTAAACAGTATGAAAGGTGTATTTTAAAATTAAGTTTATTACAAAGAGTTTTTGTAAACATAGACGGGATTCAGGAAGCATAGGGAAGAGGAGTGATTTCTTAAAAAATGTATTTAAAAAATCTAAAATATTACAAACACGATTTCCATTCTGAAGAGCACCCTGTGTACAGCAAGTTTATTTCATAAACAAATTCTACTTTTTTTTTTTTTTATCTAATATTACCTATTTCGAATTCGTCATCCTCAGCTAGAATTTCAGCATTTGGTATATTTGCTGGAGGCTGGCAGACACGGAGCTGATAGGCTATAAACAGGAACAAAGCACAGTTGACATTGTCAAACAGTTATCATAGCCATGCAATAACTGATTTAATATCTACCAGGATAAACATAAAAACTCTATTTATTTTGAAGCTTTGAAAAGAATCAAAAGAAAGGAAATTAAAAAAACATTGTGTCTGCATTCTCAAATAGTTATTTAGTTCTAGTGGCGAAACCCTCTTCGTAAATAACATAAGCAGTTTATAAGTGGTTGCCAATTTTCTCACTAGAGCAATCCCCGTCAAAAAGCAAGTATTTTTGTATTTTTCAATCATTATATTGTTTGGTTTTACTTGTTGTTTTTTTTTTTCTTTTTACAATACAATTTTATTGTTGAACTCTTCCACTTTTGAAGCCTTGTAATAAATACATGTTTTGGTTTCCCATAGATTATACAGAGGCAGCATAACTAATTGACAGAAGCATTGTGAAAGTGAAATATCCTAATAAATAAATAGTTATGGAGCACACATAACCTGCAGATAGTGCTAGAGAATAATCCTGCTTTCAAAATTCTCACTTGAAGTTTCACATGAAATAATTTTCTGAGACTTATCACATGAGGGAACAGCCAGGCAAGATAACCACGTGAAATAAATAGAAAGATAAGCAGGAAGCGTATGCAGAAGTCATTCAGACTGATTTTTTTTCCCCAGAGATCCAAAGAGAATGAGCCCATGTTTGGAGACAGACAAAATAAAATATGATCTTAATAAAATTAGGACAGAAATCTGGCAAAAGAAATCACTTGGACATATTTTTACCTACAGTGGAGTCTTCCCTGTATTAAAGTGTACATTCAAGATGAAGTATGGTTGGTTTTCATTAACATTTTCAAACATATTTTCATACAGCGTTAGTTTATAGGATTTCTCTTTAGCACAAAATATCATCTATTTATGTTAGATGGCAGTTCAGCTTCAGTAATACACATTCTTGGTTGCTTCATGTGATTAGATCCTTCAGTACTCTAATTGGTCAAACTTTTGAAAAATCACAAAATTTATACCTTAAGTAAGACCTTTTGTTACTAATGAGTCACCCTTACATGATATCTTCCTATTACACTCCTTTTCTTCAATCATGTAATGAAGATCTTAAATCAGTGAGTCAGAAAGCCTTAGAATAATGCAATTTAAAATAAACACCAATTAAACAAGAAACAGCCGTGCTGTTTGCATCTTAAGAAAAAAAATAATAAAAATCACAAAATTAAAAATTGATTAAATAAATAAGTCATACAATTCATCTCAAATGTCTCTCATTTTAGGGTAACAGAGTATCATTAATTTTAATCCCAAAATTATTTATTTAAAATAAATTTGACTCCTAGGTTTTATTTGACTCCTTGACTACCTTGCCTTTATTACTACAATTTTTGTTCAGCTGATGTGAAGGATCACAGACTCCAAGATACAGATTTATTTATCTTGACAACATTAGTACAAAAATCATTTAAAGTTTCTTTATAAGTAATCTTTGTGCTGCCTGGCTTGCATCTTTATTGCACATTAGGGCCCACACCTGTGGTATGATAATTTTCACAACAAAAGAAACAAGTAAAAGGAGATCTTTAGAGACACTTTAATACTAGCAAATTACTAGACCAGAAGAAATAGCCTCAAGTTACTCCACATGAGATTGGAATTAGTAAAAATGTGTTAAACAAAAGGGTTGCCAAGCATTGGAACAGGCTGCCCAGGGAAGTGATGGAGTCACCATCCCTGGAGGTATTTACAAGACAAGTAATGTGCTATTTTTCAACATGGTTTAGTGGTAGAATTGGCAGTGTTTGGTTTATAGTTGGACTTGAGAATCTAAAAGGTCTTTTTCAATCTGAATAAATGTATGGTTCCATAAGCTTCTTAGCATATGTTTGGTCATATACTGATAAATTAGTAGATATCAGTACATATGGACTCATTAATGAATACAAAATGACATTCTGTCCTTTGCAAGTTGATACATGCAATTTAGATGCCAAGATTTGGAATGGAAATTGTGATCCCTCTCTGCCTAGCCCTGCTAGAGTCTCTACTCCATAATCAGTGCTGGTGGGTTTCTTTTTCATTGTAGGCTATATGTATTTTTCTGTATTGTTTTGCTTAGCTTAAACTTCCTTTAATCCCATCAATTCTGTCTATCTGTATTCACAACTGTCTTAATTAAGTCAAAAAGAAAGTCTTCTAGTCACAATATTTGACCAGGATCCAGAAAACAGGATGTAGCCTGTTCCTGTTTCCTAGGACATTCAATCCAACGAGCATTGACAAAGCACCTGAACCCACCCTTTCTTCTCAATCTGTTTCCTGGTAATTATAACAATGTAAAAGACACTTGGCCACAGAGAGTCTGTATGAGTACAAAATGATGCAGAATTCAGTGAATTAACTCACACACATTTTCATTCAGCCAGTATTTAATTCAAGGGCAGATTAATGTTAATTACACTATATAGTTCACTATCATTGAACTATACAGGGTAGAAAACAATATATCATAGGTACAGTTCACTAGCATTGGTATCTACAAAAACAACACTTGTTTCAACATAAGCAAAAGTCAGAAAGAAAGAAATTTAATGTCCTCCAAAAACATTTAAATTTCACAGGAATTTTAAGAGCACTGTAAAAAATAAAAGTATGTGCACCTTGAACTTAAGGATCTTGATGCTGCCTTCTTAGTCCATGTCTCATCACAGTGCAGTCTTTTTATTTTTGTCTGACTAATAGTAAATTTAATATCTGGTCAAGAAAATAACTTAGTTTCATCATTCATGTTAGTCTTTCATATGTTTGCATTACCCTAGTAATGGTCAATCATATAATGATAGCAACTCTTCTTAGAAAAAGCAACTGATTTTTTTCATGCCTTTTCTTCCTCCAGTGACCAGTATAAACAATAAAAAAGTTAATTTGTCACACTTACCATGATAACTAAGTACAAAGAAGCCACTGGTAGTAAAGTCACTGTGAAACTTTATCAGAATCTGATTGGAAGTGCTATAGACTGATTCTAATGCAGTGTTGCCACTGAACTGTCCAATTTGAGGGGAAGTTTGGTCTGGTCCATCCCTAAGAAAAACAAACAGAATAATTTTTTTTTCCATTTTTGGTCCAAATAAATATAATTCCTCCAAATTTTACGTAAATGCAGTAAATTTTCCCTAGATTATACTAAAAGACACGACACAACTAGAATAAGATAAAACAGACATCAAGGGCTGAAGACCTTTTCATATCCTGTGTGTGGACTGAATATTAATTCAACCACCTTTTGAAAGTCAAATTCTTACTTTCTAATAAAAATTGCAGCCAACTCAAAATTACTGTATTTGTGATTGTACTTCACCTACTTGCCACAACCTCTGATGACATTTGTATATCTCTACTTTCAAATGTGGCTATCAGGAAATAAATAAAACTAATACTGTTCATGTTCTCCAGTCTTTTGAATCTGATAATTTCTAGGAAAATTGAGAGATAAATAGTGTTGTTAGAATTAATTAATAGAATAACTTGAAAATACAAGAATGAATATTGGCTTTAGCAAAAATAAACCCAAAATGCTTACAGACTGCTGAATACAAGATTCCCCTTGAAAAGTGAATGTTGACATTAATAAATACACATTTTATTTGCAATGCTTGTTCTACATTACTTTTACATATACTCTAATGTCAGCATTTTTTAACTTAACTTTTCTCCCCATAATTAATTTTTTAATGCTATCATTTACATTTTACAGTATATATGGATAGATAAGAATTGATTTAAAGTTTATTTTTGTGAGTGATTCAGAGTTTTCTCAATTTGTTGTTATGTTATGAATTTTATATGAATGGTCATGTCTTTAAGTATTAATATAATTACTGGCAGCTTTAACCAAAACTGAGTATGGTATGTAGCTGATTAATTTCTTGAATTCTTCTTCATATGAATGCGTTGATATTATTTTGTACTATTTATTATTATTTAGACAACACATGTAGTGCTGGTAAGATCATTGATACCTTATGGAAAAATGAAATACTCATTTCAATAGAAATTAAATTAAAATTAGTACTAAACAGTAGTGGAACTGTACAGAGAACAGCATCATGATACAAGAGTATTAACTGTTCATCCTGGATTCCTTCCAGATTAGAATTATCAAATATTAAGCAATAGAAAATTAAATTTAAAAATATTTTTTCAATAGTTATTAGCACAATATATTTTAAAAGAAAATAATTTCAAAATAAAAATATGGATATTCTTTATTTTGAAAATTTTACAGTAATATGTCCAAATTATGGCATATTGGCCCTTTCATCTGTTTTAGCAGGGAAATTGTATGCTTTGAAGCATTTGAATTGTGAATAAAATGTGGGTTTTTTTCCTTTGGAAACTACTATAAAATTTTTGATCTGTGCTATAAATAAATAGTATCACAGAAATGGTATAAGCTATGCAATTAAATAGCCATCATGTATATAATACAATTTTTACATGTGTACAAATGAGGACTAAGGACATTAAGTGTCTTCAAATATGTGGTGGGGGATTAATCTGATAGGTTTCTGCTGGGGGTCATCATGCAGAGCCATGACAGACATGGATTCAAGTACACGAGAATATAATTTGTTTACAGTTCTTGTTAGCTCAATTCTTTCTGTCATAGACAAATACAAATAGAGCCTCTTGCTTTATGTGCTTTTAAGAATAAAAGAAGCAAGCTTGGAAGAAATTAATGAAGTGTTGTTCTACTTTAGTTTCTAGTAGTCCTTTTCTAAAACGCTAATACACACATCTGAAACCTCTTATCACTCCTTTCTTAAGCATTGTTTCTCTTGATTGTTGATGAGCTATTAAAGCATATCTCTGTATGATTTTCTTTGTTGGCAAACTGAGAAACACTACTGTTTTCACTGGACAAAACTCTTGTCCAGAGTTATCTAGAGGGAATGGTGCATTGAAAAACAGCAACTCAGTCATTTTTCCTAGAGAGAACACCAGTTTCAAGGGGAAAGTCACAAATATACTTAAATTCATATTTGTTTACATAGTGTCACATGAAGATTAAATAACCATCAAAAGATTTTTCTTACCAGACAGTTATGAAATCATATATCGGTTCTGTTTGGAGAACTGTGAAGTTGATGTAGATTCCGTTCCCAGGTGGAACTCTTACAAGCCAGAAGCAGTCTTGAAAGTTTGGGTACTCATCAGGGTATCCTGGAGAGTATATGGTGCCATTCATTGCAGTTATGTTTCCTCCACACAGAGCTATAAAAAAGACACTTTTTAAAAATAGACAGTAAATGCTTTTTACATTCTACTTACACTATATAGAAGCCCTAGTTTGGAATACATTTGGTGCACTTAACTTCATTGCATATGACCATTCTTGTGCAAAGAAAACAGATTTTATTCAGCTTTGTGCAGAGTCAGAAGTCTATTTTGACAGTATTGGTCATATAAAAGTTAAAAAAAAAATAAAATTCTGATGTCACAAATAATATCAGAACTGGAATTAAATATATGTATACATACAGGGTAAAATTCCCCTCACAACTGAAAATTACTTTGTTAGGCCTTTGTGTATATTCCAGCTACAAATTAGCAACAAATCACATTAATTTTTTTCATGTGTGGTCACAAAAAGATAGCGAAGTGAAATTAACACATGAAAGAAGGCACATAAAAGGTTGAGGGGTGGGTGAAGATTAGAGGTGAACTTCAAAATTAAAACATTGTGTCCAATAGTATGAATACTAATTTTGTATTTATGGATATAAATTCTGGTAGATAAAGTAAGGGTCTTCTCTGTAATTCATGTTGAAGAGTACTAATTTTAGATACCATACAGATTCTGGATTTTCATAATTACGTATTTCTGAAAAACTATTAGTCCAAATTAGATTATTTTCTCCATAGATTTCAGATGAATGTTGACTATGACACTACCCAGTTATTGCAGAAGAGAAATGTTATACAAGTCTAGTCCTGGAAAAGTAAGCAAAACTTAAAATTGTATAATTTGCTTTATTTTGCATACATTTATTTTGCCCACTCCACCCCACAAGGTGCGCTGTATGGCAACACAGATTTTCTAAAATATGTTGAAAAATTTCTAACCAGAGCAGTTTTGACATACAGGTTTGACATATATGAGTTATGCATTGTTTGTATTTAAGCAAAAGCATGTGTTGTGGTTTATGTTTATACACTTTGGTGCTGAACTGTAGGGTAAGGAGACCTTCACAGTGATACTTCAACCATTCAGACTCAACAGCTTGGGCACAGCTTTTCTTCAGCTTAAACCTTAAAGTCTCAAGGGGGGTTGAGCAGTACAGACAGAAATGGTTTTGCAGCCAGGTCTTAAGGGAGTGAAGATATGGTCTGATGACTGTCAGGCAACAAGATTTCTTGGAAAAGGAGAGGGAATACAATTCAAACAGATTAAAGCAAGGGAGATGAGTTAAGAAGGGTTAGAGTATTAGATGATGCTGAGCACAGGTTAAAAGAATGTTAGGTGCATCAGGATGCAAGAGAACAAAACTGTTTAAAGGGGAAGCGAGTTTAGTCATATTTAATTCAGATTGTCTGCTTCAAAAAGTCTGAGGAATTAAAGAAGCCTTGGTATATCTTGTATTACAATAAAGACATTAAAGAAAATACAGATTTAAGACATGCCATGTATTTCTGGTACTAGGCATATACAAAAAAAGCCTACTTCATTTTAATGCTTTTGAACACAAGGCCTTTATCTCAAATCAAACCAAGCAGAACTAGAAGATAACTCATTATCTTTTTCCTGCAACAATAAAGAAAAAATAAAAAGCAACTCATAAACATCTGTAGCATAAAAATGTCACAAACCCTTTACTAAAAATACCAGAGTGAGTATCTGCACAACACCCCATCTAATTTAAAAAATCTGTCTAGGAGCTGAGTAGTGTTGACAGTCTGTAATCATGCAGCAAACATGTATCTTAGATCTCTATTATCAAGTTGGTGGATTTTTTAATCTTCATTTTTCATATCAAATTAAGTAGAAACAAAAACCATTCAGACACTGTTCAGGAACTTAATCAAAATTGATACTCAGAGCAACAACATGCTTTGGGCATCTTAGAATTTACTAATTAAGTTCTTGGTTCAGGTAAGGCATTTCAAAGAAACAGAATCATTGTATTCAATAAATTGTTCTGATTGTGAGGCACAGAAAATACAGCTAAAACAAACTAACAGGAAAATCTAAGTGTTTAGCTGTTAAGACATGAACTACAAAGACATTACTATTCCACAGGATGCAGAAAATGGGTGGTGAAGTTAATTATAATGAATTAACTTCTTCCCCTTTCAAAAAAAAAAGACAGTGTAGGTGTGTCATCTGTCTTTTAGAAGGTTTCCCCTTCTGCATTCAGTATCAGTTAGGTTTTAATTTAGCTACCACATCCCCCAGAAATTCCTACGGCTCACTGACTCCAGAAGGAATTTTGAATAATGAAGCTTTTAATTTAAGTACCAAAATTTGGATATATCGTGCAAAACATAGTGCAAAAATCCAGAAAACAGGAGAGCTTTTTATTTTCCATTTGGGTGATTGCATTTGATTTTGGAGATTTTTTTGGGGGTGGGGTGTTGCTGTGTTGTTGTTGGGGGTTTTTATTTGGGCATTTCTCTCCCACATGATATTGAGGATCCCATTCTCAATGATGAGTTTTACCATTCAATATAAAGGGAAGCAAGGCCTTTAAGTGGAGGACTGACCTTCTTTGGCCAGCTGCTTAGAGACAGGCTCCTTTCAGCATAGCTAGGGAGGAGATAAACACCTCCACAGAATCATCACAGTCATTCTGTCTCCTTAAAATTAAAGCTGTATGCAAGTCACAGTTTCTTGAACCTTCTTAATTGTTTCAAGTAAAAGTGAAAAAAAAAAAGTAAAATGTTAAAAAAAATGTAATTTTAAAAGAATTCCATTCAGAAAAAACATGTACAAACAATTTCACAGAGCATTGGCTGGAGGACAATTTTGCTCTAGACCACCTTTAACATTTCTTTCTAACTGATAAGAAAGAACTTTAGTGGCCAGAATTGGTAGATTCAATTACTGAAGCTTTTTTCCTTAATTTAATCCAGAGTTTTTATGACATTGCCTGTCACTGTTAGACACAAAATGATTCACACAGACACAGCTTAAAGTGTGATGAAAAAGGAAAGAAGTTTATTTGTTCTTTCAGAATTTATAGGTTTTCAACAACCTCCAGGGATTGGGTAGTCAGGTTACCACCTTCCCAACCACACTGGCTGTGACAGATGTCTATCAAAAGGCATATCTTTAATGGAATGTATAAACATTTATGTTTATAGTTACTTTCCTGGGAAAGTGGCTAGAAATTATGAAAAAAATATCGAAAGGTCTGATTCTCAGGGTGACAATTGCCTCACCTAGATGACAAGCAGCATGTATCTCCACATTCCAGACTAACCTTCCAAAAGTAAACTTATTATGTCAGATAAGTTTTCAGAGATTTCATATTACAAAACATTTCATCTTCTCTGTTAAAATTTTAATGTGTGTCTTGTGTTGCAATGTGCAAAATTCAATACCTCCTTTGCAAAGACCCCACTGTAAAAACACAGGCCTCTATAAACCAAAAAGCTGAAATGACTTCAGTTAAAAGTCTTAGGAAGCCTTTCAAATGATGAAATGATTATAGGTCATCGGGGACATACCTTCACATCTGGGGAGAGGATGATTCCAATTGCGGCTGATGCCATGAAGACAAGTCAGAGCTGAATTTCCAATCAATGTGTAGCCAGGAAAACACTCAAATGAAATAGTTTGTCCCACAGTAAAGTCATTTCCAATAACAAAACCATTACGAAATGGTCGAGGATCAGGACAGCTTTGAAGCTGATATGCTGAAATAAACAATAATAATGGTGGAAAAATCAGTAAAATAAATACTGTGACTATCTCAAAAAAAAAGAACTTTCAATTAGAAAAAAATTAAAAGTCATGGACAGCCCATGGGAACCAAAGTTCCATGATGGTGATGATTAAATCATTGATTTTAATCCTGGAGAAGTACAGTGAAACCAGCTATGCTTCTGTGCTGCTAAGTAACATTTCTTTTTCCTGTTTGAAGATACTGTATCAAGATGGATGAAGTGCTTTTCTGATCCAATAGGGGTTGTCAGGTTTTACATTCTTATCTTTAGAGGAAAGGAGAAATAAACATGTCTATACATTTATTTGTTTTTCACAGAAGAATTAAAAGGCTCTATAATGAACTGGAATATCAAAGACTTTATATTGAACAAGTAAAATTTGAAAACAAGCTTTTCTCACACATCTTGGTGATTTTTTCCAAGAAGATTTGAAGCACTGTCTCTTTATTACCAATGTGAGAACAAATAAGCTGTGTACAGTCTGAAGTATAAGAATATCATGTGGTATATGTTTGAAAGAATCAGTTTGGTCTGATGTAGTTAAAACACAGAAAAGAACTTTCCAGTGTTTTGACAAATGGCAGTATCTCCAAAATTATTACTGCTACTATTAACAGTCCTACATTTTTACTGTCCTTAGCAGTTTAGGCCACAAATTGATTTTTTCTTTAAAAGCTAATTCTTTTTACAGTGGCTCACTTCCAGAACATTACACAGAGTTCAAATCAATTTGGACTTGTTACTATTAAAAGAGTAATAGAAGACTGCTCTAAAGTAAAATCTCTTTAAAACACTTTTAGGTGTTATTCATATAATGAAAACAGGTCTACTTTAAAATACACATTTGACCTTTTTTCATGAACAGTGGTGATCTAATCCCTTTTAAATGAAAATGCAATTCTATAAATCTAATCCTTTTAAATGAAAATGCAATTCTATAAATAGAACTATGATCTCGTGATCTTCACCAGCTCAGCATGACCTACTTGGGTACAAAAGAACAAGAACCTTCAGGGAAATGGTGAACTAGGTAATAAAATGGATTTGGAGAATTTTGGGTTGGCATTAATTTGCACAAACCTACATCAATCCAGTAATACAAAACAGTATTTAGATCTATACCATCCAGAACCCATTACTCAAAATTAAAATTTCAGTATGCTTCCAATCATTGAATAGAGATGCTTCTTTTGTAAAGGCATGCAATGTAAATTTATATGTCAATCAGCTTCAGATACTGGCAATTACCTGTTTGCTGACATTTGACCTGACTCTAAAGAAAATATGCAATTAATTTTATTTTTTCATCTTAGCTTTCTTAATTCTTCTGTTCTATCTCAATGTTTAAAGCTTGGAACTGAAACATAAAATCTTTCTTCTTTATTTTTGGGAATCCCCAAAACCCAATAAAATCTTTAACAGCCACCTTGATCTCTCATAAGAATGTCCAAATCTCACCTTGATATACAATATGAAATCCTTGTTTGTTCTGTGAGTAATCACTGTGAAAGTATAAGCTGGTTTCATGGGTTGTGCTGAACAGAGAGGCTGGTAGCTGAGGCCCACTTAGTCTCCCAATAACGGTGCTAGTTTCTGTAGATCCACTCCTAACTTCTAAGTAATCGTGTATGGTCTCCGTTGAGAAATTCAAAAACTGCAGATGGACACCTGAAAAACATTGTCAGCTAATAAAAACCACCAGTACCAAAGCCAGGAGGGATAATAAGGCGTGTACATCTTACAGTGATAAAGGCAGAAAATAACCAGGTGGAAATCCATGTGCTACTTGGCAAATGTCTGTATGTTTTCCAGTCCTAATGTGTGTGGAGCTGCACATCTATCTCCTGCCAGAAAACTTTAAATTGGACTAAATGGTGAGCAGAAAGGCTTTGGGTCCAGCTCAGGGTATCAGGCAGGCAGAGCCTCTGCTGGTACACCAAGAACTTGTGAAAGCAGAGTACATGAGGAATACATGTGAGTGCTCCCCCACACACTGTGGGGTATAGTTTTGGTGACAGAAATTTCTGATTATTTGGTTCAGTAAGGAATAGGAAGGCAGCTTACTATTCATTAGGAAGTCATCTCTCCTAACCAGGTGATGTATTACAAAAATTATGTGGCATGAGAAGAAAATTCTATACACCGAATAGTTATAGAGTTCTTAAACATTCTCGTGTTTATAACATACTTCTACATAAGTTACAACAAAGAAAAATTTGTATTTTGTCTGGATATTTTGCAACTATGGCATGATAATGCAGTAGAACAGAATCACAGAATCAAATAGGTTGGAAGAGACCTTCAAGATCACGGAGTTCAACCTATGCCCTAACACCTCAAATACAGCATGGCAATCTTTTTTTAAACACATCCAGGGATGGTGACTCCACCATCTCCCCAGGCAGACCATTCCAGTACTTTATCACTCTTTCCATAAAAAAAATTTCCTAATATCTAACCTGTATTTCCTTTGGTGCAGCTTAAGACTGTGTCCTCTTGTTCTGTCAGTTGTTTCCTGTAGAAAGAGACCAACCCCCACCTGACTACAGACACCTTTCAGGAAGTTGTAGAGAGTGACAAGGTCACCTCTGAGTCTCCTTTACTCCAGACTAGACAACCCCAGCTCCCTCAGCTGTTCCTCACAGGGTTTGTGTCCCAAGCCCCTCACCAGCCTCGTTGTCTCCTCTGGATGTGCTCCAGCATCTCAACATCCTTCCCAAACTGAGGGGCCAGAACTGGACACTGAACTCCAGGGGTGGCCTCACCAGTGCTGAGTACAGGGGGAGAATGACCTCCCTGCTCCTGCTGGCCACACTACCCCTGATCCAGGCCAGGGGCCATTGGCCTCATTGGCCACCAGGGCACACTGCTGGCTCATGTTCAGCTGCTGTCACCAGCACCCCCAGGTCCCTTTCTGCCTGGGCACTGTCCAGCCACACCATCCCTAGCCTATAATGTTGCAGGGGGTTGTTGTGGCCAAAGTGCAGGACTTGGAACTTGGATTTATTAAACTTCACCTTATTGAACTCTGCCCACCCATCCAACCATTCCAGATCTCTCTCTGCAGAGCCCTCCTACCTTCCAACAGATCAACACACACTCCCAGCTTAGTGTCATCTGCAAATTTACTAATGAAGGACTCAATACCTTCATCCAGGTCATCAATAAACATATTGAATAGGATTGGCCCCAGCACAGACCCCTGAGGGACACCACTGGTGACTGGCTGCCAGCTGGATGCAGCACAGTTCACCACCACTCTCTGGGCCTAGCCATCCAGCCAGTTCCTAACCCAGCACACAGTGCTCCTGTCCAAGCCTGGGCTGCAGCTTTTCCAGGGAATGCTGTGGGAGATAGTGTCAAAGGCCTTGCTGAAGTCTGAATAGACACATCCACAGCCTTTCCTGCATCCATCAGGTGGGTCAGCTGGTCATGAAAAGAGACCAAGTTGGTCAAACACAGCCTGCCCCTCCTAAACCTATGCTGGCTGGGTCTGATACCTTGGCCAACCTGTAACTGCTGCGTGATGACACTCAGTATAAAGTTCACCATTACCTTATTTACTTACTGAGGTCAGGCTAACTGGTTTATAGTTACCAGGATCCTCCTTTCCACCCTTATTGAGAATGAGCATCACACTGGCCAGCTGCCAGTCATCTGGAACCTCACCAGTGGGCCAGGACTGTTGGTAAATGGTGGAAAGAAGCTTCACAAGCTCATCTACCAGCTCTCTCATCATCCTGGGATGGATCCCATCTGGGCCCATAGATTTATGAACATCCAAGCGCTCAGCAGTTCTGACTGCCTTCTTCTGGGTAACAAGGGTGTTGCCATTGGACACAAAATAAAGATGCATGTCTTCAGTTCAACAGCCAGAAGAAGATCATCAGAAGGGCTTTATTGTCTGTTTTTTGGTACGTTTTATAACGTGTGCCAATACAGACTTAACGTGTTTGGTAAAGGGAACAACACCTCTCTAGTCCCATTGGTGGGACAAGATAAACACAATCAGAATACAGAATTGTTTTGAGAACCATAAATTCATAAATATGAAATTGTCCTTAAGAGAAAGAATCTCTCAATGAACATTCCCTTGGGGGAAAAAAATTAGCCACTGGCAGGCTGAAAACCTTTTCAGACTCAGGAAATCAAGCCCACGCAAGGGGACCATTCTGCTCCCTGACACCATCTACCAACAGTAGTTTCATTAGAAAGATGATTGAGTCCTACTGGTGTTTCTGGCAAAGACAACCAACACAATTTCATAGAAAGCTGAGAGTAAAAGATATCTTGTCAGATAAATTATTGAAAGTCATGAATAGTTTTGTAACTCCTGAACTGTCATACCTAAATAATGTTTCTCATTGTCTTCTAGAACTTTCCCCCAGGATACCATGTAAAGGTTATGAATGATTTTCTGAAGCATGAAACATTTTATATGCAAGTTAGGTGCATAATTAAATTGCTGTTACCCTGATAATTTCTGTCTTGCTTTATCTGAAGACAGTCTATAAGTGATAAGAAAGCTCTTTCTTATAAGTGCCATTCTTTGACTTTGTCAGACTTCCAAATATTTCCTACACAAAGAACCAAGTTATATTTAAACTTTGCTCTTTATCTATCATGATATTTTGGCCTTTCATTTGATCCTGTGAACCATACACTTGTCCAAAGTTTAAGCAGTCATTAATAACTGCCAGCTCATATGACCTTGCTGTCAAGTTTTTTCCCTTTCACTAGCTTTTTTTGATACAAAAGCAGAAATACATTTTCGCCAGTCATCCTGCTCTCTGTATTGCACTGGCTTTCTCTTCAGGTTTCTGAATCTTATCGGTCTTCAAAGTATTCATTCCTTGCTCTGCCAGTACCACCTGTCTCTATTTATCTGAGACTTCAGCTTATTAATTAGACTGATTTTTTTGTATGCCTTCTTGCAGTTTGGACACTCTGCTTGAAAAAGTAGTTAATATATTTATATATGCTAATAAACACAGTGTCATCGGTAAAAACATTACACCATTAGCTAATATACAGTGGATAAGCTTCTGTAACTTGTAACTGGGAGAAAGTCTTCCTAAAAAGAGTTAAAGAAGTGAAAGTCTATAGAAGGTTCCCATGATGGTGTTTTTGAATTTTTTACTTCCTACACAGAAGAGTTGGACATAAGTGCCTCTACTAGATCAGAGTCACAACATCACTGAAACCAGTTTTAGTCATCACTTCTTCAAAGGTCACATTTTGCGTTTTACAGTGAAATTTTATAATTAAATTTAGTTTCAAACATATCTCATTTAGAAAAGGTAAGAAATGTCAAGCCTGTTTCAATCTGTGCAACCTTAGTTTTATTCTAGAAAATGAAGCATTTAGTTTTCTTACACATGAACTGGACAACAGATCATAAATCCAATTGATAAACTTCAGTTAGTACAAAGCAGTTCAGAACTATTGATTTTGGCGGTTAAACTTACTCATCCAAGAAACTGCTTCCAAAATTTCAGTAGTTGAATCTCCTGCCTAATGGAAGTCAAACTAAATAGTATGTTAATAATGTAGAGTGTAAATAAGAGTCTGAAGAGTTAAATTAGAATTATTGGACACATAAGCCTGGCAGAATGCAAGCAAAGTAAAAAGAGTAAGGAATCAGTACAGGAAGAGAGACAGGATAGTAGTAAAGTGAGGGAAGAGGCAGATGGTAATGTGTTCGGGATAAAAAGACAGAAGGTTCTGGATGCAGTTGGACATATAATTTTATTAAATTTTAAATTTAACCAATATTCCAGATTTTTTTATTATTTATTTTTTATTTATTTATTTATTTTATTATTTATTATTTATTCTTTATTAGCAAATGTCTTTGAAATCATCTGTCAAAATATCCTATTCCCTTACAGCTCTGAATATACTTTTTCCTGTGGATTTGATCCAGAAATAATGCACCTTTTACTACTATATATACACATATATTTTTTTTTTATAACAAGCAGAAATCTATTTGGCATTATGACTCATAATGAAGCACTACGAATTGTCCCATCAGGCTAGCTAAAAATTCAGTAGTGGCAGAATTAAACTGTCAATGTTATTTCTAAAAAATGCTAAGACAAAAAATGCTAAGACAAAAAAAAAAAAAAAATCAATTATTGACTGTAATCTTGTGTGTTCTGAACAAAATGCAAACAAACAAATTGGGTTCTATATAGAAATCCCTATTCTAATATAATATATTTCCCCCAGATAAATTTTGTTAAGTCAATGTTGTGGAGTGTTTAATATTTTTCAATATAAACAACCCATGCAGAACAATTGGCTTTCATTTGAATCATAAAACTAGGCTCATGGGATTGCTAATCAAAAATACCACAGAACTGATTTTAAAAAGAGGAGGGAAAGAATCTGAACATATGGAGAAGAGTATGCTATTTGGGATGTCACACTCACTCTGGAAGGCCCAGAAAATCTGTATCATCAAGCAAAGAATATGACAGAAGATGGCAAGTATAAAATTGAAGACAACAGACCCTATCTAAGAAAATGAGTACACCATTCCACTAGCATATAAAGAGAAAGATACAAGTGTACATGCTCCTTAAAAAGTGCCACATGTTAAAAAATTACATAGGACAAGTCTACTGGCTAGCTTTGAATAAAGATTTCACAATAAAATATGCATAGGATCCACCCAAAGTTGCTCAAGAGGCTAGGCAATGTAATTAAAATGTTGATAATATCTTCACAAAATCATGGTGAAATAAGAGAAGTTCTAGTGACTTAAAAAAGTCTAAATATATATTCACCTTTAAGACTAGAAAAAGGACCTGGGAAATGGCAACTACAAGTTCACTGTTCATCCTTGGAAAAATTATGGAACTTGTTTATTTGGAGGCAATTTCCAAACATATAGAAGACAAAAAGACAGTTAGGAGCAGTCAACATGGATTTCCTAACAGAAAATAACAGTTAATCAACCACTATATCCTCCTATTATTAAAATGACAGAGGGGGAAAAGTATATATAATATACTTTCATTCTGCTATGGCTTTTGACTCAGTCTATAACATTCTCATTTGAAAGCTGAACATACATGAGCTTCATGAATAGAAAGGAAGTCTGTTAAAAATTAACATAACTTTGAAGCTCCAAGGGTGATAATCAGCCATTCAGTGGTTGGCAGCCAGTAACAAGCACAATATTCTGTGGGTTGCTATGGAAGCTTACATTGGTTTATGTCTTCAGAAGAGACTTGGAAAATGAGAATGTATCCTTAACAAATGTGTGGAGGATACTAAACTAGGGCTTGTGGATGATATACTAAATGGCACAGTTTTTGTCTAAAGAACACTAGAAAACTTAAGGACTGAGTAAATAAATGCTTCTTAAAGGTTTGCACAAGGAGAAGTACAAAATTCTACATCTGGAGTACAACATCCTTATCTGTTACAGGCTGGGGATTGATTATGTGAGTAGCAGTCCCAGCAAGACAGTTTCACCAGTCATGGGCTTGATCCAGTGCTCCTGACAATTCTACTTTGAGTGGGAAGTGTGACACCTTTAATTGGGAGGCCTCTACATTTCCTTAAAAAGAATATTTTTATGCTCAGCGAACTTCACCTAGGATATACAGATAAGCTTAATGATAAAATAATAAATTAAAATGTAGCTTTAACTCCTGCTTTAACTTCTAAATTGACTTGGTGTAAAATATTCATGACAGCTATTTTTTTTTTGTTTGGTTTATGACTTCACAAAAAGAGAAATCAGTCTTGTAAAGTTAAAAACTTGTGCTGAATCTTTATCAGAAAATTTTGGCATATATTAAATGAAAAACCAAGAATCTTGTTGCTTTTCTATTTTAAATCTTTCTTTTAAGATTTTGTTAAATTCTTCAAATGAATGGTAATTACTTTTGTTTTTTAGCTAGGATAAAGATTAACAATATTTTAAAATCTATGTTCAGTGTTTTGGACCCATATAAAAGCAAGTTTAAATCCATGAAAGGACACATACCAAACCCAATAGGCAGTTTTATTGTCCATGTGCAATCCAAACTGCTAGGATAGTTGCCAGGAAACCCCGGACTGAGAATCACTCCACTGAAGTCTGACATGCCACCACCACATTGTGCTAAAAAGAAAAAAACAACAACCAAAAATATTTTTCAGAGGAGTTAAATGAGCTAAAAATTAATCTATAACATTCAAGATCCTTAGAGCATTAATAATATAGTAATAGCTAGGTTTAAATATAAATAAATACACAAACATATGTACTAGGTATGCATTATATATGTTATGTATACACACCTTTACCACTAAATATCTGCAAGAAAATAATTTACAAGTGGGTACTTTGCAAATTTGCATCAACTCTGAATTGAGTAGATTTTAACTTGGGAGACACATGCACCCAAAATAGAATGGGTTACAGGATTGCAGAATCATTTAGGTTGGAAAAGACCTGTCCTCTCATCCTGTCACTGTCTGCCTGAGAGAAGAGACCAACCCCCACGTGGCTAGAGCCTTCTTTCAGGTAGTTGTAGAGTGATAAGGTCTTCCTGAACCTCCTTTTCTCCAGGTTAAACACCCCCAGCTCCCTCAGCTGCTCCTCATAAGACTTGTGCTTCCTCCAGCATCATTGCCCTAATATTTACTCTGCAATCTGTTTACAAGAGCTGTCCCTGTGGCAGGCAAGCAGCACACATCAGTTTACAGCAGCACTGAAACAATTGTTCATGTTTGTGAAGAAGGACATGAATAATATAAGATAATGTATTATAAAAAGACTGCATTAAAAGTGTTTCAAGACTTTTAAAAACTGCATTTGTATCCTTTTGTTCTAAAAAGGAGATAAAATAAACAAACAGAAAAGTACACATATTTATACTTCCAGAAATTAAGCTGAATGAATATCTTAATTTTATTTGTTTTCAGGCATGACATCAGTAAATAAAATTACTTAGACGTCCATATTACATTTAAAGATGGTAATTATGATAAATAGGATTTTGTTTAACTGTTTTGTCCAGGCAAAATTTGCTACACCATTTGAAACACAAATAAAAATCATTACTTGCAAAAATAGGAAAAAAATAAGAAAAAAAACCTCTAAAATTTCAGCACAGTGTCTTTATCTTCAGAACTTAACAAGAGCAGTGCAATTATCAGACTTCCTAACCATATGTTAATGCATAATGACAAAAAACTGAAGACTAACTCCTGAAAAAGTTCTTACAAATACCTCAACCTTGTTGAATATTTATAAATTCTAAGCTGAGGGAGCTCACTACCTCCCCACAGGATTAAGAACAGGATTATGTGAGGCAGCTCAAGAGGGTATATATAAATGTCTTGAAGAAAAGCAAAGCAAAATAATCTTTAATGAGACCTGCAGCACCCTGCTTTCCATACATTCAAGATTACAAATCCTGATAACTTTTAGTGTTAGAGAACCCAAACAAAAAGGCATTTCTATGCAGTGAAAGAGATTACAACGAGAAGGAGTTTTACATTCCTCACAATTATTCATCATATAAAAAGAGTATATTTAAATGCACTTCAGAGGTTTCATTTTGGTTTCTGAGAGATTTTTAGTGCTTTTTCCAACAATATTATGGACATGTATATAATTTTACTTGAAAAGTAATGTATCTTCTGAAACTGGGTAGACATGCTTATGTTGAACTCATTAGAGATGAAAATGTAATGTTATTTCTATTTTAGTATCTTCTACAATTGCCATTACTCTTCTGGGGAAATGAGTTCTAAATAAACTAGCTATGCTGCAAGGGTCTCTGGAGGTGTCTTTCCTGATAATGAATTGATGATATATCTGACTAGAACACACAGAATCATATAGAACAGTTTGGGTTGAAAGGGACAACCTGTATTTCTTTTACTGCTTGGACATTTCAGAAAAGATTTGCCAACGTAAGTGTCAGAAGCTTTGAAAATCTCTAATTTAATTTGACCATTTTCACATTTAATTAAGTTCCTCCAGTTCTCTCAATTATTTCCATAACATGTGTCTTATTTTTGAGTTTTCTGGTTTTCTCATTTAGGCATATTTAAGAAAAATTATGTATGCTGAACATACCTAAACATATTGGAATGGGATAATTCCATCTTCTCACTGGTCCAGGCATACAAGTGATATGTGAATGTCCCTAAAATGACACAATATTTGCTAATTGATATAAAAATATACAGCACATTAGTAATTTAAAACATCATCAAAATACACAAAAACCAAAAGGTATAGTAAGTATACTGTATACTATGAATTGTATCATGCCTTTAATAAAGCAGAGAAGACTGTGACTGCAAGCTCACTACATCCTGGTGTCCATGCCATTAATATTATTTCTTATACTATAACAGAATCCAGCTGAATTCTATGCATATTTCAGTATAAACCAGGGGTCTGGAAACTACAGGTCTAACTGAAGAAATGTTTGCATCATTTGTTGAACATGATAAAACTATTCATACTATATAAACTATGTAAGTGCTGACTTTACATCTTAAACTCATCATAAACACATCCTCTGTGTTGTTCATTAGCCTCACATAATTCCAACTGTCTTCCAGAGAAAGCAAACAAAAATGTAAAATCTTAAGAGAAAACTGTACTTGGGATATCTCCCAAAGCCATCTAGTCAGACTGTATAAGTCAGAGAAACCCTATAGAGGGAAGAAACTTTACATGTGTTTGCACAGTCTATGCTCCTTGAATTCTTTATATTCTGTATTTTCTTTATTTCAGCCTTTTACTGTGCCTTATCTGTTCACACACACGCACACTTGTATTTAAGTTGAGAATTAAAGCAAAGAAGCAAAAAAATATTTCTCAGGCTGTTTCCAAGAGTGGCCAGTTAAAATCAGGCAATATGAGTAGAAAATTTCTATAGTCATTCTCAGAGCTGCAATCACGGAATATGTATTTCATCTGTTCTTGAAATGTTAGAAATCTGCAGGCATTCTATCTTGAGGGGGAATTCTATCTTGAAGGGGAAACTGATACGGGTCCAAAACCCAAATGGCAGTTGAAATCTGGAAGCAGACAAGATTATTTTGTTTCTATCACTATACATATAAACTAGACTCCTTTCTCTTTTTGTCTAAGAATATAATTCCATTTCTATTTTTGATGCAGCACATATAAACCCAGTACCTAGGTTTTCACAGAACTTTGTAAAATAAAGATTTGACATTATCAGCATTTTTAAAACTTCATTTAGTTAGTCTGACATCAATACATATTATAGGTGAGACTGAGATTAGTGGCATTTTGCTCATTCTGGCATATTTTGCTATTTTGCTCCAAAAGTATCCATAACTCCATTAGCAGTTAATCATGTGCTGTTATATATAAATTATTTTCTCCCTTTAAGACTTTTCTTTTTGCAGTACTTGATAATGTGATCATTTTCTGTCCTTATGGCTCCCAAAGAGCTAGATAAATGTAAGACTGTAAAATCTGCAGACTCTTTTTGACGAGTCTCAAGTAAAAACTTCCTGCTTTGGATCTGATTCTATGGCATAACTGTACAAGTTTTTGAAAATATTTTCCACTTCTTTCCTATAGGTAGACAGGTTCCTACTGGTGATTTACAGTCACTGAATTTCCCCTGGATATACCTTTTGCTAGTGCAAGGGCATTGCAAATTTACTTGGCAAAAATACATCCCTATTTGATAAACGTTTTGCAGAAAAAACCCCAAAAAATTGCTGAAAGAAAACAACTGACACAATGTGATTTACTAAGAAAAGCAGTTATTTCTTTCCCTTTGTTTATTCTTAGTCCCCCTCTTTACTTACTTTCTTTATCCTCCTGTGCATAGAGAACTACTGTTAATTGTTCATCAAGTGATTTTAACATAATTTTGCTCATCGTTCAGCTATAATTGTCAAAGATGCAATCAATAATAGATAACGACCTATAATCACTAATGCAGAAGAAACACCAAGCCATACGCTTCTGATGGAATATTTGGATAGTTTCTAACTTACTATCTGGTAGAAAAGCAAACAGTCCTGTAAATTTATCATGTGTACACAATTCCTGAAGAATTCAGCATCCATTTTACACTGGCAGACCCAAACATAACCATGTTAAAGAACTGAAAGTCACCATTTGAAATAGGAATCTTGGCTTACCTGAAGAGAATAACCCTGGTCACACTGGAAAGACACCACATCTCCAACCATGTATCTGTCTCCAATTTTGATCCCATTACTTGGGGTCTGTGGTTCAGGACAAGAGTCCAAACCTATAGCTGAGAAAAAAGAGAGAAGTTTAGTTATTCTAATGAACATAAAATTGGTTTTTAGATTTGTATAGGACTGTGTACAGTGTATAGTTACACTGTGTTGATAAGCTTTCGGGTGCTCTTGGGAATCAGCAGTTGTCTGTGGACAAGTAGCATATTATTTTGGAACAACTGTGTATAAGGAGAAAACATTTTCTTTCATGAGTAAAGGAAAAGGATCAGTGTGCCAGCAAACAATTCCCAACCTGCACTCTCTGCTCTAAAATTCCACTATCTCCTGGCACAGACTCATTTATTTCTATCTCCAGTTTCACTCCTAATTACAGCCTTCATAATTTAGATTGGAAGCACCTCCACTATCCTTTACCAGCACGTGTTCCAGGGGAGGCTGGACAACACTACACCAACTGCAAAACACAGGAAAAACAGTGCAAAGTAAAAGGTCTCTTCAGCATTCCATCTTCCACAGGTCTGACTCAACTCCTTCATTCATATACACACACATACACACACAGAATAAATATTTGCATCAGATACATCTAATCTGCTATGTTTAAAGCAATATCTATAGAGCTATAACACTAACATTTTGAATTTCTAATTGCATTAGAAACTAGTTTGCCAAGAGACCACATGCTTTTTTTCATGGTCATAAAAAGAGAAAGAATTTTTTTTCCTTGTATCTACCCAGGAAGGTCCAGGAATGTAAGAAAGTATAAACTGAATTTCTGTCTTTGCCTACTGTAAGAATTACACCCTAGTTGTGAATTCAGGACTATACACAACAGGATAATAGAGAAACATTGTGTGATTCAATCATGGCCACCTACTACCTCAGAAGATTATCAAAATCTGCATGTTTTAAAACTTACTAAAGTAACTGATCACTTCATGTAAGATTCTCACTAAGTAAAAACTACCATTTGAAGACTTAAAAAATAGTGCATTTTTTTACATTATGAAAGATGAAAGCTAATGAAAAATTTTAGCTTTCAAATTCTATTTTCTGTTCTCAAACTAGAGAAGAGCAAATAATCTGTTTTGAAAATGACTGATGGATCTAGATCCACTTTTTTACATTTCAGATACCTAGAGTGTGATCCAGTTAATGTACAAAGTTCAAATGCAAAATAGAAGCATGCTTGGCTTACACACATGATTGCTTATAATCTCTTTAGAGCAGTTAAACAAAGAATTATCAGGTTTCAATTTCCATTGAAAAGGTTCAATTACTGAACCTTCAGTTGAAATGTGTAACCTCACTACGTGAATACTCAGGCCATGCAAAGTGAAATGAGTTCATATAAATGCCTTTCTCAGGCTACCTTAGCAGCTGAAACCACATTCACAGGTATTCATCCTATTGTCTCTCATTTCAATTAATAAAATAATAGTCTGGCAAAAAAATAGAGTCTGAACATCTACAACACCTATCAAGAAACTGAAACAAATTTTGACATCTTCCCAGCTGAGAACTAATTCAGAACTTGTGTCTCTGGAGTGTCATGATATTTATTCAGGTTATAAATGTACTCAAAAATGTGTTAATAAACTTCAGTCTGTTCATTATTGATTTATTTTTAGTGCATTAATAGTTTCTTGAACTACATTATACTACTACCATGGTAAAATATGTTAAGATTCTTGAACTCCCATAGATAATGGCAATAAAAAGAGATTTTAACATTCATTAAAAACATACTTTAAGTATCTTCTACTTTTCAGATAAGAATTGTATATAAAGAAAAATAAGCTATTTGATGCTGTCTTGCCCTTCTCCAGCAGCTCCTGTGATGCTCAATACAAAAACCTACTAATGACATTTTCAATAATATAAAACCTTAGTTAAAGAAGATGAGCAATAAATCAAAAATTTTATAGTGGCATAAAACATGTAAACATTATGGAAGTGTTTAACAAACCATTCTGTGGCATTCTTTGTTGGCAAAGTTCAGGTGATATAATGTATTTTCAATGCAATATAGCTTTTGTATTTAAGATAGCCAATGGAATATAGAAAATTAATGTTATAGATAAAATAACAACTTAAGGATTCAACAGAGAAGTAAAAATGTGATAGAAAAACATTACAGATAAGAACACTATTCAGTTTCAGAATCTGAACACAATTATTTATGTGAAAATATAATTTACTTGGTGTTAAAATATTTCTTCAACAAATAAATTTTGTTTTCTTTTACTTTTCTACTAGCATTTGGATTTTTAGAAGCTCAAAAGATAATCCCTAGTAGATAGGACAAAACACTACACATGAGGGATGAAAAGAGATATTGGAAACTAAGCAGAATGAAACCTTCTTACAGAAATCTGTTGCTGAAATGAAAAAGTAATCGTTTTTGCAAATGGGGTGCACTTCCCCTCAGACTTGTGTCTCCTAGAGCAGGTGTAATAGACTTGGAAGATGCACTGTGAATGTCACAAAAACAATCCTTATGGCAAACTCACTTGAAAAATGCTTAATATAAATATTTAACTCTGATGTGATTTTGAATGAGAACAGTGCACCAATACTTCAAAGACCAAGACTTCAATTTAGCTGACTCCTCATGGTGTCCTCAGCCAGCATGTGCTCCAATGAAATGAAATAGAACTATGAAACACTGACATTAAAATCTGGCCACTACTTTCCATTTACTAACTATCTTTATAAACATAATCAGAGCTTTCAGAGCAGGAACTGCTGTCTGAGAATCAGATATGACCAGGACAACTGAAGATAGCAACTCTGCATCTCTTTTTTTCTGGAGAAATTTCTTCACAAATACAGCAGTATTTTGACTTCTGAAATAGCAAGAAAACATTCTCTTTGTTGTAGAAAAATGCAACAGATTAAAATCCAAAAGATACACAAGGTACAGTTTCTGTTGTCTTCCTTCTTAGTAATGATGACAAAGTGTTGTCCCTTAGCTTAATCTCCCATATCAAATTCGTGATTCAGCCCTATGCAGAATTTTCTTGAAGCCTCTTGAAAAACAATTGAACAACAGACTGAAAAAAAAATCATAAAACTTGCACAAGTACCAGAAACTATGTCTTTCTTGGAGAATAGTGGAGGAGTAAGAGTCATGGATTCAAGAAGTGAAACAGCTGGTGCCTAGGACTTGAAATCCTCACTAAGCAATTAACTATAAGGTTTCAGGACAGCTGACCCCAGCTGAACAAATTCCATACCCCATGACACCATGGCCAGTATATAAACTAAGGGGAAATCTGGCTGGGTACTGCTGCTTGTGAAGTGGCTGGGTATCAGTCGGTGGATGGTGAACAACTGCATTGTGCATCATTTGGTTTGTAAATTTTAATTTTATTATTATAATTTGGTTTGTTTATCTATTACTATTATTCCCCCTTTCTTTTCTGTTCTATTAAACTGCTTTTATCTCAACCTACAGTTTTGACTTTTTTCCTAATTTGTTCCCCATCCTACTTGGGAGCAGGGGGAAAGAAGTTAGTGAGTAGCTTTATGGTGCTTAGTTGCTGTCCAGATTAAATCACTACAGGCTGTATGATGTTTTAATCACATCTCTCTATCACTTGTTCAAGAAAAGTTAATTAATCATTTATCTTGTAAAACAGCATATTTCACTGAGCTACTGGTTAATTTGATATCTACCGAGAGACATCAGTATTATTTCCTGAATCACAAATTTTCAACATATACTTTGGGTTTATGCACTCACACAGAAAACATTACTTTTGTGCAGATTCACACATACATCCCTATATAAATCCACACACACGTATTTGGTTATTGTTCTTGACATGGACCAATACTTTAAATAGTGTACTGTGAATCTTTTTTTTTTTTAAAGGTAGAAGTTGTACACAGGCAGTATATTACACATATTATTTGGACAAGAAGGAATACAAAGGTGCATTTTTACTTTCTCTCTTTTTATTTCATTTTCAAAATTTCCTGATGTTTTCTCTCATCTGAAGCTGTAAGCAGCTGAGAGCCAATCTACATTTCGAGGAAATGGCAGGATAATTCTACCTATAATTAATGTTTTGTTATAGACAAGCGATCAGACAGTAATTTTGCAAGGCTGTGTTCTCCAATTGCCTAATCAGACAACCAAAGCATGGGATTTGCATATGGTAAAATGGACAAGAAATAACAGTGACACAATTATGCAGATCAGACACCAGAACCAATATAAGCAGAGGAAACCACAGAGCTGGTGATTGCCAGAATTCCTCTCAGTCATATGAGACAGTAGTCAGACAGAAAGCATGTTTATAATTACAGCCTTTTCCACTGGTGGGGGACTCAGCAATAAAAAACATTTTTAATAATTCAATGTTCTCACCAACCTGCAGGCATTTCTCAGTTAAGATGCACAACTGCTATTTTCAGATTATCCCTTCACTTTGCCAAGGGTGACTAGTATTTGTGTCCTACACATGTATATATACTGTATAGTACATATGTTATTGTATTGAGCATAATTTGTAGATTTTGGCAAGGAGTGATGAGGTGTGGAGCTGCAGGGGTGGAATCTGTGGGATGAGACCAGGCCTGCACAGGACACAATGGATTAGGATTGTCACACAAGCATATCTGCATTTATTTCTGTCTGCTGTAGGTCAGGAAAGTTTCCAGAGAGCAAAAGCAAATTGAGGATGAAAGCAAGACAAGCTAAATTTCACAGTCCTTGTAGTATAGTTTTCAGGCACGAATTTGCTCATCTGGATTTAAATGAGAATTTTACTAATGACTTTGAAGTTACAGTATGTAGCTCATTATGTGCAATAGGACTAAATATTGCTCTATGGTGTAGTTTAGGTAGAAATGATGTCTGGAACCAGCAAGTGCTCTTTATTAGTTGAACATTTCTGAATTACCTGTATACTCAAGGTGAAATCCAGCAGCTGAAACACTGATATCAGATTGAAAATTGAGGTACAGATTATTTGATGTGCTGTTTAGAAGTGGAGGTATGGTTGTTCCTGAAAAGAGAATTAAAAATATTATTGAAATGCACAGAAAGTGAAATAATTCCAGAGGTAAGGGTGTGTTTGTCTGTGTGTGTGTGTGTATAAACAGAGTTAAGGGGAGAAAAAGAGAAAGGGAGATAGGTCAATAATCAATTCCACAATATTCTGTCATCATGGATGCTATCAAATGGATGCTATACCTGTCCCTATAAAAGTTTTATTACATTTTCAGTGCACTGCAATATCAGAGATATGAATGATAGACAAGGAAAAGCTAATATAAATTTATATTATTTGCTTTAACCCACAAAAAAGAGAAATATTCACTAGGATCTTTTTAGGAGCAAGAGCAAATCCTGTCACCAGAATAATTCTAAATGTAACAGTCACATATATCGAGCAGCTCTGAAAATATGTTGCAGGACTGTTCCTATAAATATGATGGACTATTTATTTGTTTCAGCACAAGACAAGATAATATGATTACCTCTGATCTCTTAGCATACACATGTATGTAGTATAATGAAAGACAACAAAAGAAAACAAGAAAACGTAAGGCAAAAAGAACTTCGTCTAAAATAAGGATAAAGGATGTATTGTATGTACAATATCAAGAGATACCTATTTTTGAGGTCTGTATTTCTGGGCCCTGCTACCAGTGTGAGTAAAAAAAATGGATTGAGAGGTCTAGTTTGGAAGCCTCTGAGTGTTATTCAATTTCTAACATTTTAAAATTTACATTTTATGAAAGTCTGCTAAGCAACGACTGATTGAAACAGAAATATTATTCTCTGTTGTTAATTTTAGGAGAAACAAACACACATACCATGCTCAAGCATGCTTACACACATTGAAAGAGCTTTGTGTTTACAATAAAGAGTGGAATCTGTGAATCATTTATTGTAAAATCTCTCAGTTACCTGAATAACTTCCAAGCCTTGGAGCATTGTTGTCAGCACCGTCATAAAAGTCTAAGGAATCCCAGTTGTGTTCTGTGGCAAAACTCACCACTTGCACCTATGAAGAAAAATGTGAGGTAAAGAACATAAACTTCTTCCTTTCTTTATTCAAGCTCAAAGATCACTCTAAATTGTAGCCTCTGTTTCTTTCAGTCATGAAAAGCTGTCTTGCTCTTCTTGTCCAAGAGAATGGAAAATCATCATCAAGTGAATAAAATGGCAACTAATTTTTATGTAATTGCCAATTCAAACTTGAAATCCTGTAACCCTTAGTGACCACCACCTATTACCTCTGTCAAGAGTCACACAACCATAAAAATCAGATGGCTATAGAATAAGATACTCTTGTTTGGAGGACACTGAGGAGAAGATGAAACATGGTATTTTCAATTACTGCAGTTTTTTTCTCTCTAGTTTCTTCAGGACAAAACTAGTCCCACAGGGATGCACGATGCTTCATCTATTTTGCCATTTTAAATTCTGCCTCTAGGTTAGAGAAAACCGCTGTGTTTGGTTACCTTCATCACCAACTCATCTCCTGAGGAGGAGCAGTCACTAGCTGCTACAAACAAAAGGTAGAATAGTCTTCATTTCTTCCAGAACTGACAACATTTTTCCACATTCTTCCACTCATAGGGAGATGCAAAGTGATGAGACAGACTGCAAGAGGGAAGCTATACCTGTTCTCATATAGCGAAATCACACCTTACAAAGTAGAGATATATCGTATTCTTGTTCCTGTTTAGTATGGGAGAGTTTCTGGTGTTAGCTTTTTGTTTGTTTTAACTGTTTACTGAAAAGCTTTAAAAGAGACAGAGGCATGATGAAACCCCAGCCACCCTCAGAAAGGGTGCCATAGTCATTAAGTTAGAGAATAATATTTCTTTCGCCGATATATGTATATATATACAGACATATTTTTATTTTTTTTCTAAGAATGGAACAGTTTCAACAGAAGAAATAAAGACCAGCTCCAGTAAAACCAAGTAATGAAGAAATTTTTCTGTGAGAAATATATTACTTGGACCTTGTTCTACATAAAATGAATGTTCAGTTTGGCTACCTATTTCTTGGATGGAGGCCTCAAAGACTGTACCTATTTTTGTAGAAATTGGTCAGATACTATAGACAAAGGATTTCCTTTTCTTAAGTGAAGCAGTGAAGAGGCCCTAACTGTTAGCACGCTTCAGATACTTGAAGACAGTAAATATATCTTTTCTTTTTTATTACAACTCTGGGGCAAAAGAATATCACAAAGATTAAACACCTAAATTGAAATCAAAGTTAGTAATTTACTCACCTCATTAATGATCCTGAAAATGCAGCCTGTAATAAGAGATAAGCACTTCCAAAAAGCAACAGGGCTGGCCTAAGTAAGGAGGACAGTTACTGCCTACTTTAAATCCTCTGAACTATCTTTCTAGTATAAAAAATACACAGAACAAAGTATCCTAACTGTCAGCTGTCCTAGTCAACCATTTAAATTAAGTAGTGTTCCTCAAAATCAATCTCAAAACTGATTTAGGCTATTAAATACTATTGAAAGCTATGCAATGAAATTTATTAAAAAGCTTTTAAACACTCAACATTTTTTCTGATTTTCTTTATTAAGTCTACCTACATAAACTGAGCTCTTTATAATTTTCTAAAGCAGTTATATTTTGAACTAGGACAGACACAGCAAATTTGTTATCATGATTTCTTGATATGCGATTTGCTAGGAATTTGTTCAGACAATGCTTAGAAATCCTAATTTATTGAATTAAACTGCCTGTGCAATAACCAGATTTCTATCAGTTTCTTTAGTGAACTCTATAGAGATATGCATGAGTAAGCTTAATGGATATTTTCCTACTGTGTGTTTTACGAAGTTCTTAATCTACGTAAGTAAACAAGAACTATGAAATTATTTTAGAGAATAAATTCCCATCTCATGCTGAAACATATTGAAGCATTTACAACACAGTGAACTACATAAACATAAAGTAAATAGCAGAGTTTCTTGGAAAACTTGTTCTTGAAGGCAACTTAATCTCACTCATAAGGACATACATAAATCTTGAGAGAGCAAAAAAGATTTCCTAGGAAGGCTTTCTATTTCTCCTATATTCAGTCACTGATCTATCGAAGTACGTTTGGAAGTTACGGTGATGTTTTTCTAAGTCTACAAATACATCTTTTAAGATTTTTTAAAATCTTAAAACTTTCAAACACTGCATAATTAAAAAGATGTGTAATAAAGTCAACTTTAAGATGAGATAGGAAAACTGCACAGATAAATGATCTTTTCACCTTTTGCATCAGGAAAAACAGATCTAAATATGATGATTGCAAGCAAATATCAAGTACACTTACTTGAATCCCAGCTCCCTCTGGTACTGTGATCTTCCACACACAATTCAGATTGTTGTCATAAGGCTCAGGATAACCAGGAGATAAAATGGTCCCTTTGCGCTTTGTTAAAATACCACCACAGGGCACTGGTGCAAAGGAAATGCATAAGACAAGAACAGAAGTATGAAGCTTCAGAAGTGAGAAGACTTATTATAAAAGCTTATACTGTGGCTGAAAACTTTTTAAATTGATGCTACATTAAAAAATATATATGCCTCAGGAAAATAAAATTTTACATCTCAAAACTTTTCTTTTAACTGACCAAAGAAGGAATAGACGAAAGTTAGAATTATGTCAGTTTCCTACCTGACAGAATTATGTTAATATTCCCCTTATTTATTTTACCTTTACAGAATGAAATCTATTCTACTGTCTCCTGGTAATCTTACTAAAAAAAATAATTTTTTAAGGCTTAGATTGAAGTTTGAAAAACTGTGTAAAAAAAATAGAAAGTATCACATAAAGTTAACATTCTTTCTTTCTTTCTAATATTCTTTCATTCATTCTTTCTAATATTGCTCCTCTAAAAAATTAATAACACCCGTCTTAATTCCTTGACTGTTCTCTGCTTGTGTGAGTTATTCCATCACAGTCTGTGAATCTACTGCATCAGTAAAGTATTTGCAAGATCCTTGGAAGACTACATTCATCACATCTGTGTCCATGGGTTAATAAATGTGTTATGCATTAAACAGGACAGACACATTAAGTACCATCAAGTTTCTCTTTTGAATGTTCAACTTGAATGCATCTTGTCTATATCATTAGAGGCTCTAACAGAGACAAAGATTACATCTTAATCTGCATACTTAATTCTGTTGGTATTTTAGAAGTTGAAGGAAAAGATTGATGAGATGGTTTATCAAGTCCATTAAAAGCTAATGTATCACTATGCAACATCACAAAGTTCTGAAGGGATTTCAGGAGCTGCAAATATGAGGCTTTAGAAAATAGATAGGATGCACCTTATCTCAATAATAAATATTGTAGCTACATATTGCATGACATAAAATTAATAGAATCTGTTTGGAACTACATGGGCAAATAAAAAGCTAGTGCCACTTAAAGTGTTTAAACAATTACCCATAAAAGGATGAACAGACACAATGGTTGATGCCAGGCTGTAGCTTGAGTGTTGTGTTAATTTTTGGGCCCCTCACTACAAGAAAGACATTGAGGTGCTGGAGTGAGTCCAGAGATTGGCAACAAAGCTGGCAAAGGCTCCAGAGAGTACATTCTGTGAGGAGTAGCTGAGAGAGCTGGGGCTGCTCAACCTGGAGTAAAGAAGGCTCAGGGAGAACTTATCACTCTACAATCTGAAATGAAGTTGTAGCCAGGTGAGGGTTGGGCTCCTCTCCCATGCAAGGAGCGATAAGGCAAGAGGACATTGCCTAGCCTGTGCCAGGGGAGGTTCAGATTGGACATCAGGTGAAGTTCTTTACAAGAGGGGTGGTTAAGGACTCCAATGTGCTGCCCAGGGAAGTGGTGGAGTCACCACCCTTGTAATTGTCCAAGAGAACATTGGATGTGGCAATTAGTGCTGTGCTGTAGATGGCATGGTGGTGCTTGATCAAAGGTTGAACTCGATGATCTTGGATGTCTTCTCTGACCTTAATAATTCTATGATTCAGTGATTCTATGTCTATTATCTGAATATGTAATATTAAAAGAGTCACTAGAATTAAAGCAATTTAATATGGTAACGTCTACGACTTCAATTATTAAACTGGTTTAGTTTAATGCAATTTTCACTGTATAGGTATTTTATCACCTTTATTGACACAGCAATTTTCACACAGAAGGTGGCCTGTAACCCTTCCCCAGTTTAGCTTGTCTAGAGACAGATAGCTTTCTCTTCATAGACTAAACCATGTATTAAAATATTAATAATATATTGTGATCAATGTCTAAAATAATGACTTCAACACTTTGTCAAGTTGTTATATCTGAAAAAAACAAAGGGAATATAATTCAAGGGGAAAAGTAGTACAATTCTACAAATTGAACTGTAATCTATGAGACAAAATGAGATAAAGCTATATACTTCACCTTCTCATTGACATAGAAATTCTGGTTTTATTGCTATGCCTAAAACAGTCTAAATCAGCATTTTTTGTTTAAAACTTGGCTAATAATATTTCATCAATATTACCCCACTGATACTCAGCCTTGGTATCTATTGGGATTTTGGTATTTTGGACATAATCTTTTAATTTACTAAAAACCACCCATACTCTACCAGGCACCAAGAGCTGGTTAGCATGGCAGATGAAGCATCAGCCTAATGAAAATGTGCTCTTTGTTTTATTTTCATCCACTTACCTAAACCTCTGTTTATGTACTCTGCTGGAGTCAGTATTATAATGCCATTTTGCAGTGGGTTATGATATTTTTTATAAAAAATTCTGCTCCCTATCAGGAAAAGTAAACTGGGGAATTTCATTACAATTACGAGATTTCCAGCTGGTCCAAGTCAGTTTATAAGTATCAATGGATGCACATTAATTTAAGAATTTGATTTTGAGAATTTAATCTCAAAGTCACTAGAACCAGATGAAATATGTTTTCTGAGCTGAAAAGCTAATGGCCTTTTCTTGGCAGGTAACAAAATATTAATTTAACTATTTCTAAATATTTAATATAGTAGTGTTCTTCCTAATAGCTTGCAATATCTTGTTGGAAATCTGCAGTGTAAAAGCATCTTCGTCTTGCAAGAAGTAAGAGCACAAACTAATATTTCTGATTCTTGAATAAAGAGGGACAGCCAGGAACTTCCAGGGATGCTAATGAGAGAGAAGCTATCATATAAATTATGGCAGCAGAGCATGTTCATGACACTTGAAAGTTCACAGCAAGATTAGAATTGAAATAGATAGAAAGGAGAAAAAAATAACCTTAAATAAAAAAGAAAGTAAATTAAAGCAAGAATAAAATAATATACTGATGACAAAGAATAAACACATTTAACTAGGGAATCATCTACCCTTTAAGCAATATTTAGTTATATTAAAAAGCCTTAGCAACTCACCAATACATGTAGGAAGTGAATCATTCCATTGTGCCAATGCATTTGGTACTGTATCACATCTAATTGCTGTCGACCCATGGAGGATATAGCCTGGATTGCACTCAAAAAGAACCAGTGAACCAACTGCAAATTCATTTCCAATCCTTTTTCCAAATCTTGGTTCAGGCACAGAGCTACACTGTGTTGCACTTGTTCTTGGAACAGCTGTGAACATACAAACAATTGTGGATTCTTAATTTTAGATTTGATAAGGGAATTCAGATATTGAACCACAACTATTTAAAATGTCTGGAAGAAACCTTCAGCTATTTCCCAGGTGAGAACATTTCCACAATCCCCAGATGAATCTTCACAATAGAGATTGCTCACTTTTGATGTCTGAGTTACTATTAAAGGAGAGCAGAGCACACATATCCTTGCCAAGATTTGAAGTAATCTAAATAAAATCCACATGGAAACCTTTCTAAATCACACTTACAAGAAATACTACCATGAGATACTCAACTAATGCAGGGTTTCAAAATAACATTTTGTGTCAGATATTTATATTTATTCATGTGGATTTCTAAATGTGTGTTCTGACTGTCAGATGAGGATTTACATGTAATGAAAGAATGAAATGCAGTTGCAGGTGTTGGTATATAAAAATTTCTCATTTGACCCATAAGAAGGCAAATAAAAATGTGTAAATCAAGAAAAATATCTTTATAACAGTAAGAACATTTTTAACTCACAGGTAATAAAATTTACAGTTCTTCACATTTAAATTGAGAGATAAGCCAGTTAGAGCACCCAGATGGTTCTGAGTTGTCAATCAGATTAGCAAACAAAAACAGCAGTTTTATATAACTGTCTTCTTAAATTTGGAACCCCTCTTATGCTTCTTAAGTATTTGATCTCAGCTTTAAAATACAGAAAAAACAATAGTTTAAGAGATATTTCAAAACATGTAAAAATAGTGACACTTATTCTATTGTTAAAAGGCTATTACTTTCCTCTTCATTCTGTCTGTTTCTCTCTGCTGATTTACAAACTATGATGAACAGAGTGAATGTAAACATTTTTTCTAGGTTGTCTCACCTTGATAAACAAAATGAAATCCTTTAGCTGTTATTGGTCCAACTGAGGTAAATCTGACTGTGATCTGGTTCCCCGAACTCAATGGGAGGGATTCACCTACTCAAACAATGAAAATACAATCATAGCCACTTTTTACTAAAGAGAACACCTGTCAACATCTTTGGAGCTAGAAATACTACTGTCCACACCCTGCTCTGCTTCACTAAACTTTGCAAGATACATGCACTTTTAATATTTTATGTTGACAGTATTATGTCATTCTAGAAAAAGGGAGTTAAAACTTAGTTACTAGGAATATTTGTTGGCTTTTTCCTTTACCAAAAACAAACAAAGCCCCTCCCCAAAAAAACACCAAACCAAACCAACAAACCACCAATGACAATGAAAAAAACAACAACAATCCACACCACAACACCCCCTCCCCCCGCTAATAACACAGAAAAATGAAACCAAAATGGAAAACAAAAAAACAAACCCAACAAGAATCCAAGAACCCAACTCCCCAACCTCTTTAAATAGACTCAAAATGTAATCAATTTAATTTTACTTTAGTACAAATATGCCTTGCTTTCCCTTTAAAATATCTACTGCTTATTTAAAATTACTCACTAGATAAAGCAAAGGCACAGAGTAAGAAATCCTAAGTACCCACGATATTAGCTAAATATCAAAAGAAAAAAAACTTTAAAAAATATTAAAAAAAGCTATTTTATGTCATTTCACTCACCAATGCAAAGATTTTGAAGTGTTTAGTTCAAAATGTGGATTTTACATATTTGCCTGAGATGAATTTAAGCAAATACAAGAATCCTTTTTTTCCTTTTTTTTTTTTCTTTTTTGGACTACATTTTATTTCTAGGTTCATAAAAAAACCCCTAAATAACGATATACTGACAGTTCTATTAAATGATACCTGAATGAGATCCTGAGAGAGAGGATAACAAAGAAGACTGTAGAGCTGGGCCATCGTATACTTCCACAACGTCATGGAGTGATGTCTGGAAAAACACAAACTGGCCAAAAACAACTGACCAAATAGACAGGAAAAGAAGGAAGAGGCACCAGTAGCCAAGACAAAAAACAAACCAAAGCAAAACAGAGGGAATAGAATAAGAAAGGGGGGAAAAAAGAGAGAGAACAAAATATATATTAGTGTATGGTTTTAAAAATAACTAAGTCAGTTGTGCTGGTGCTGAATGCAGGTTATTTTTCATACCATTACAGCAGTAAAAGGATGAAAATACATCTAAATGAGACAATGAAGGTAGAGAAGACATACATATACATATAATCATTAAAAAATTCTAGTAATTAAGTAATTAAAAACAATTTTTCTGCTGTTGAATTATTTTCTACTTTCAAATTCTGTGCCCTCTCCAACACATCTAAGTTCTCAGGATAATTTTCTACTT